GCCCTGCATGCCCGATCTAGTGCACAGGGCCATGGCCTGCAGGCTGGATGACATAGCACTGGGGACCAAGCACTGCTGGTGTAGGAGATTGCAGCAATAGAACTGGTTAAGGCAGCTGAATGCTGTACTGATGAACCAGATTGAAGAACACTGTCAGATTTTCTCTACCTGAAACAGGTTGTACCTGTGCTCTACCTCATTTGGGGCATAGGATTGATGGAATTTAATAAATGATCAGTTGGGTTTTTTTCTACTCTGGTCAACGAGGCCCTAGACCATGTTTATTGCGTGGGATACAAAATCTGCTATTAACAAAGAACTATTGACTTCCTCATTAATTTTTCTGTAATGTTGATCAGTATAATAACTTTGTGCTATATAACCATGTTTCCCTCCCCATAGATCTTTGAAATGAGCTGGTGTTTAGTTCTCCATCTGCAAAAGAGGGATAAGGCACAGAGAGATTAAGATCAAACATTTCCACTGATTTTGAGACATACAGGACCTGATTTTTCAGGGTGTTTGACATTGCATATCAGTTCATATAGCTCAAATGCAACCTCAAGCAGTTTATGTTGCAATTCCAAATGCTTGGACTTTCTTCAAATCAGTCCTGGGGCCTTGAGTCAGGTTGTCAGAAAATGAGGAATGCACAATTAATGACTGCCTGAGAAAAGTTCTTTTTTTAGCATCATGTAGGAACTCTGCAGCAGAAGCAGGGACAGAATACATTTTCCAGGACAGTATTCAACTAACTTAACCATGGGAACGTCCTGTAAGGTTCTGCAGCCCTGTGCTTCATTCCCTGTACCCGTATCAACTTCTGCAGCAAATGAGCAGGAATCCAGCAGAACGTAACGCCTTCTACCACACAACCTTGATCTACTGTCAGATCAAGCGTATATGTACAGTGAATAAGTCAGGAGGTTTTCTATTACTTCTCCACTAGGCCTGTGCAAAGCAGCAAGTATTCGATTCGGATTTGGAGGGACAGTGATTCAAATCACTGTCCAGATTCGATTTGGCCAGTTTGGATTTGGAGATTTAGTTGCGATCCCTGTGCTGCATGGGGGAGCTCTGCCACAAGCCCCCAGAAGCCCTGATTGCTGCTGTTGCAGCTGGTGATTGCGAGGATTAATGGTTTCCTCCCTACTCCTTCAGCCCTCTCCCCCCACCCACTCCCTACTTATTGGCACAGAGCCCAGGTCCAGCTCCCTGCAGCTGCAAGTGGGGACTGCCTGAATCTCCGAATCAATTTGGAGGCTTCCGATTTGATTCGGACCTTTTAATGGGTCTCTCGATTTGATTCAGATTTGGAGATTCGGCCCCTGAATCAGGCCGAATCTCCTCCAAATCGAATTGGCTACTGAAGCTTTGCACAGTCTTATTCCCGATCTACTTTTTTTTTTTTTTTTTTTAAGGATGGGATGTTTTCATTTTTTTATCTGTGCATGCCAGTATTTTGCTTAATGGTTTATGCCTTACTAGATAGGCTATTATTCATTTCTGAACCAAAAAATCCTCACTGAAGAAAATATGCATTAAACTCAATATTAGGGATGGAAAAAGTTCAGTTTTTATACAGATTTATTAATGGAAGAGTTATTCCCATGTACCAGTATTTTAGGGTGCCTGTACACATGCTTGGGGTGGGGTTGAGGCCTTTTAAATAGAGCGGTTCTTAGAGAGCCACCCTAATTAAAATGCAGCAGCATCACATGTATTAAACCCACACATGTTTAAAAATGGCCATGGGCCATTTGATGAGCTTTAGTTAAAGCATCCCAGGGGACATTTTTAAACCTGGGGTGGGGGGCTTATACATGTGACACTGGTGATGCTAGAGCATTCTAATTAGAACAGGGAGCAGACCCAATTAACTGAGTCTGCTCCAAAGTGTTCTAATTAGAGCATGTCAGATAATGTTGTATAGGCACCCATAATTATGTGGGGCAGTGGGGCATACATATACATCTTTCCAACAAATGGAACCATTGAGAATTGCAAGGATAGCCATTTTCATTTGCTACTTTTTATTTGAGGGAAAGGAAACTTGTTTTGACAGCAAGGATACTAAATTTGATGCTTGTAACAGTGGAATTAACTGACAGGAACCTAATATAGTGTGAACAGTGTTTGTGGAAGCATTTCTATTTTTAAACAGCTCTTCCAAAGGATTTAGTTCCTGGACACAGGCACTGCTACAGAGGACTGAGTATAGATAGCCAATATTTGATTTTTGTGAGAAGTCTGTTTAAATCTAGGCGTGGACTCCACTGACTAAGTGTTTACGTAACCCTCATCACTGTAGTATCAGCATGTCTGAAAAATGTTTACCCTTTTAAAACCCACGTGTGATGTGAAATACTATCCTTGTTTTACAGATGGGAACTTGAACATGGGAATAAGGACATGTAAGGAGGTTTGTAATAGTGCTGGCTGTTGAGTCCTGGCCCAGTGTCGTAACCACAGGACTATTCTTCCTCTCCTAATATATGGAGTTATTTCTTGAGTATTGGAGTTATGAGACTTAATTTATTTGAAGCAAAGGACAGCTATTTAAGAGTGTCTTCTCTTCTTATGCGTCTCCATGGTCCATTCTCCTTCTTTTCCAGTCTCAGAGCAACTTCTAAGTACTTGGAATAGAATTAAAAACTTTGGGAATGTTTGAATACTTGCAAATCTGGATACTGTGAGAACTCATGCTAAGTTGTTGGCAGACAGTCAATAAAGCCTACCCTTATGTTTCTTGAGAGTTTTGCATGTTGTGTTCTGACGAAAGCTAAGCATGCACAATTTCTTGGGAACGGAGCTGGCTAATCTTTGCAGTGGTAAGAGAGCTAAACGTTATGATCCTTTATGCTTTAGGTGGAACATATGAAGGTCACTTTTTTCTTATTTGAACAAATACACCGAGCCAGATTTGGAAGGAACAATTGAAGCCATTATGCTAAATACATACATATTAAAAAGAAAAGTAAAAAGGTACTAAGCAAAATGTATTCAAGCAAAATGAGCTTTATTCTGATGTGGCATCTGCTTTTACAGGGAAAATTTACTTCCACTTATCTTTTTTTTTTTATACATCCACTCATTGGAGGGCCCAATAAATTGGGGATTTACTTTTCAGTTAACTGTTAATTTAATACTTGCTCTGTAAACCACTAGTTAAGTTTAAAAAATGACTCTTCCAAGACTTTATACTTGCAAGGCACTTTAGCTGATGTGAATCAAGACAGTATGTGAGGCTGATGCCAGTTAAAGATGGTGTCTAGAATACAGTGGAAATCTTGAACTGAAGCTGATAATGTTAAAATATGTTTAAAACTTCGCTGTTGTGCTTGTGCAGGAAGCAAAGAAGCGGTTGTCTGGTTTGACTGTAACATCCAGCAAATCTATTAACAGATTAGTTTGTATAGTGAGCGGCATAGTTAATCCAGGCTGTCTCACCTTGGTGTTAAGAAGCTTCTCTCTCTTGTAGATAAAGTTCTTTGGACTTGAATATGCTGTTGAAGTATGGTAGATACCTTGGGGGAACAAATACGAGGTTATCTCTGTTTGAGTTTCAGCCAACAGTGCTTTCTGCAGTACTGAAATTGTAAGAATTTGAGACCAGATTAACGTCTTTTCTGTCTGGTGATAATCAGTGGGAAGGTGCTGCAGTCTATATAGTAAAAATGGGTATCTGTAACAGCTTTCTATCTCCACTAATATATTAGGATATTAACTTTGAGGAGGGGACCCAAAAATGGTTGATACAGATGATAAAGGGTTGAAATGCAAGCTGTACGAGGAGAGATTAGAGAGCCAGGTAATGTTTAGTCTGGAGAAAAGAGGATTAAGGGAATAATGGCTTCAAGCTCCAGCAAATCAGATTTAGATTACATTTCAGGAAAAAAGTTTAAGTGTAAGAGCAGAAGGACAATGGAACAAGTTGACTATGGATGTTGTAGATGGATTCTCTGATTCAAATTTTCAAGAGGCTGGATAGGTACCTGTCTGGCATGGATGCAAGATACACTATTCTTAAACCATCCAGCAAGTTCAAATAGTTGAACTTTGAGGTTGCTTCCAACTATTGACCCAGGTATTATTTTTAAATTAGAAGTGAAGGTTGTTTTTTCATTTAAATGTTCTTCATTTTTATATATTAACAAGGTGCCCAGCTGTAAGATGTCTTACAAATTCCCATGTTCTTGCTTTGTTATTGTCTTGACCCGTTTGCTGGAATTGAGATAAATTTTTTTAGATAGCTCATGTTTGAAGTTAATTTATATTTGTAAGGAAAAAAAATGCATGCATCTAGTTCCTGGCAGAGGAATTAGTTTGCCCTTGTTCATTTTTTTAAATGGGAGAAATTTCTAATTAGTGGGGATTGCAGGTGCACAGTTGAGAGTTGAAGAAGAAAAGGTGAGCAACTGGAGAGGACTGGTGGAAGTTTAAAGTGCTATAGTAGTAGCAAATGACAGCTGAGATATGGCTCAAGGAAACTTTAAGAGCCTCAACATTTCTAAAACTAAGTATTAATAATACTTATTAATTACTACTATAAATATGAAGATACATTTTTCCTGATCCACAGGAGCCCACTGTGGTTTAGTAGTAGAATCCTTGTCTTGCCAGACAGGAGAGCTGGCTTCGATTCCTCAATGTCTATCTGTACAACTACAGCTATAGAGACATCAAACATCTGGACTCAGTCTGGCCTTTGGATTCTGTCTCAGTGGCCTAAAATGGGGGTGGAAAGTCTGGGCAGCCTCTACTCCTCCAAAAACTCCTGCCTATGTATATGCATCAAAGGTCCGGGTGACCTCTCATGCATACACCATGATCTGGAAGGATTGATGGTTGTCAAAATAAAAAACCAAGCCTGGTGCACAGAACTAGCTGTTGAGATGCAAAATGACCCTGGTTTCATAAGCCTTTTCCCCTGAATTATACTATTTTCCTTAATTTTATTTATCCACTTATATTTGATTTGTGCTCCAATTTTTTTGCAGTGGTGGGATGAAAGAGTTGATTTCCAGGCTGCTTTTTTACAATGTTTGGCAAAGCATGTGCCAAACATTTACTCTTCAGAAATGGATCCCTTGCTGGAAAAGCAGGAAGAATTGGTCCAGGTCACAATATTTTATCCTTTGGAGAGGTGTTTGTTTGGAGAAGACCCAGACATCTGCCTAGAGAAGCTGCGGCAAAGTGGATCTTCTCAGCTCTGTGGGAAGGTGTTCAAAAGTGGAGAGACAACATATTCCTGCAGGTGAGCACTAGGAGTATCATTGTGAATATTCTCCTGTTAGGTAATGCAGAAAAAATAGATTTAATAAAATTACTTTTGGTGCTAGATGTATTACTGCTGCATAGTCTGTTTGTGCAACATTAGAGTCTGTGAATAAAGAGTTGTGACAGTGGCTTTAATATCACATCCACTTGAGACTGAACACAGTTTTCAGTGCATGTGGAAAGCAAAGAAATGAACTCTCCATGGAAGTGGTTGTTTCAGATGCAGCTCAGTCATTTTTTGTTTTTAAATTAAAAACCTAGGAAAGTGCATGCACAAGATTATGCTGAAAGAATTTTATTAAGGCTGCCAAGTCAACCTCTCCCCCAAAGTTAAGAGATGTCAGAATCAAGGCTGTGAAGAAGAATGAGGGGATTGGCCCACAAATAAGATAATAGGAGGCAAAGGTGGGCTGAGCTTTTTTACCTTGTCAGCTATTCTACAGTAACTGCATGTGGACTCAAACCCCACAGTAAGTGAAAGCTCACTGTGGCTGCTTACTCATGAAGCAGTGGGAACATACCGGTCCCTCCTCTTTTTTAAAGCCACATTGCAAATTGTAGAGATGAAAATAATTTTCAGATTTAAAGTGACTGGGGGTTTTTTTTTGTTTTTAAAGATACCAAACTTAATTTAGCTTGGTTAGTTATAGGTCATGAATAAGTTTTAAGTGAGAAGGAGGATACATTTACTGGATTATAGAGGTGTACCCTATTACTTCTCCTTGACCATTCACACAAGTGGTAGAGGTATGTGGTGATTGTAAACAATCAAGCCCTGGTGATACATGTGGGTTGGGTACAGTACCACATGATGGATTGTGTTTTTCAGTTTGCTGGGTTAAAAACCTAGGAAATTACACACACAAAATGGTACTAAATAACTTTAATAAGGAAGCGAAGTCAAACCCCCAAGAATTAGGAAATGTCAGAATCAAAGCTGCCTCTGTTGTGATGGAGTCTTTATTCATGAACAGGCATTTATTTCAGCTGCTGCAAAGTTCTGGGAAATGTGCAGCTGTAGAAATCATCCTGCAAGAAGGAGTATATAGGTATTCAAGCATGCTTTCACCCTCTCTCCTTTGCTCCCCAGTTTGGGGAAGTTTTGGATAGTAGCCACTGCTTCACTCTTCCTCCCTGTTTCTGGGGGGAGTGGAGCAGTGAGGAAAGGCTCCTCATGCCTTCCCTGACCAGGATGACCCTGGCATGAAGAAGGTATAGGGACTTGGGTAGAGGGGCAGCTGCAAACTCAAATGCCTGTACATTTCTGGGAGGAGTCAGACTGCTAGGAAATCCTCCCTGTTCATCCCCCAGACTGGGGTTACCCCAATCTAGGGAAGGCCCAAGGAGCATTTCCCTTTGGTGGACTTGTCTTGGTCTCTGGGAGGAGTCAAGTGAGGGAGATGCATAGGCATTGGATCCTGCAGAGGCAGGAGAGAGCTGCCCTGTTAAAACAAGGTCTTTCTCTCTTTGTTTCCTGAGGGAGAAACTGCACTAACACCTGTAAGTTTCCAGTTTCTAGTGGGAGTGTCATTTTTCCTGCTGGAGATGTAATGCCTGCTCATATCCTTTTGATTAATGATCACATAATGTTTTGTCCACAATATTCCTCCTTTACCGGATGGAGTGATGAATCAGAGATGTGAAGGAAGGCAAGCTGTTGTCTGTAGGACCCTGTTTCATTTATTGCAGAAGGTTGGACATAGCGACAGTGTTGGAAAACTGTAATTAAGCATGCTGCTACTAAAACTTTGCTTAAGCATTTTTTAACCTTGGTGTTTCAAAGTAACAAATATTTCGTAAGTTGATGCTGAACCTGAGTATGGTGTCATCCACACAGTTCTTATAATGGCAGGGATGCTCGCATATGAATGCTCCATGTTTTTAGTTCAGAATATTATTTAATTAGTATTTTTGTTGCAGAGACTGTGCAATTGATCCAACTTGTGTGCTATGTATAGACTGCTTCCAGAATAGCATTCACAAGAACCACCGTTACAAGGTATGACAATCTTTTGTGAAAAGTTGTACATGTTTACAGAAATTTCCGTCTGGGTTATAATATCCCTAGCGAATTGCCTGTCAAGAATGACGGGGAGTGGGCAGGGACAGAGCACTGCCACCTAACATCCCATGCTGCTGCTGCCTCCCAGGAGCAGGAGAGGAGGCGGAAGCTTGTCCCTCCGTCTCCCTCCGCCAGCACCCTGTGCTGCTGCTGCCTCTAAAGAGTAGGGCTGGCCTCCCTCCCTCCCTCCATCCCTGCTGTCATGGTGGGACTGTGCACTCTGATTGGTTGTTTCAGTAGCCAGTCAGAGTGCTCCAAGAGCCTTATGGACATTCACACAGACGGACTAAGCACTATATCTGTCTATAGAGAGAGATACATAAAGATTATGAATAAATGTTATTCTTACCACCCAAAATTTATGAATTTGTTAAAGTGAATGACCAGGTGAAAAAATTGGGGCTCAGTTGCACAAACAATAGCAACCATCCTATTAATAACATTTCTTCAAAGTAATTGAGGGTGTATATTGGGGGAGATATTTCCAGTAGAGGTAGGGAAGTATACCTGCTGTTGTACGAAGACTGGGGAAGAGGTTGCCTGGAATATTTTGTACAATTTTTGTCACCTGTTCCAGAAGGGTAAATTTAAACTGGGACAGGTATGGAGAAGGGAAAGTAGGATGACCAGGGAATGGAGCACTTGTTGTATGAGAAGAGACTAGAAGAACTTGACTGGTTTAATCTAGCAAGATGAAGGCTAAGGGGATATGATGGCTCTTGATGAGTGTTTCAGGACATCTTTAACATAAAGATCAATGTTGGCATAAAAACAAATGGATAAACCCTGCCCAAGCCTAAATTTAGATTGGAAATTAGAAGGTTTTTAATATCAGAGCAGTAAATTTCTGGAACTGCCTTTTGATATGGTTAGTAGGGACAAAGAATTCGAATTGACTTTTAAATGCAGCTCTTACCTGCAGTAACAGGTGACTGGACTCGGCGACTAATGATGTCTCTTTCAGTCATGTTCTCCTCAGATAGGGCGACTTCTCTGCCTGTTGGACATAAAAGGCAGACTCTCTTGATCTGAGAATGTAGTACCTGCACTGCATATCTTAGTTTTGTTACTGTAGTGGTCGTGTGTGTGCAGGATCAGGTCTTGTATTCAAGACATTTTATTTATTCATTCATTAGATTTATATGCTGCCATTCCCAACAAGGGAACTTACAGAAATAGTTTTCTAAAACAAGAGAATAAAGTACCAGGGTATTAGAATAGAATATAAAACATTTGCCTCACCAAACAGTATCCCAGATTAGCCTGACTTGCTAAATGCTGGCCCAAATAGGTCTTACAATGCTTCTAGAATATGTCCAGGTTCTGGGTCTGGCTAGCTTCAAAGGCAAGAGTTTCAGTGAGGAATGACATGGCACTTTCAAATATCAGATCTGTATGGGGAATCTTGCCCTTGATTCATCCAGCCCCTCTAAAGAGTAGGGCTGGCTTTGGCCAACTCGGGGTCCCCTCACAGCTTCTCATAAGAGTTTCCAGGTATAACAGTTCCCTTGTCTGCCTACAAGCTCTGATTTTGCAATTGAGGGCATGAGAAGTTGTAAAGATTTTTACTTATTTGTCACTTCCATGTAAACATAAAACAGATACTGGGAGTGCTGCTTAATTACTGGTGTCTCCTGTGCATTCCATCTTAGGACACTTCATTTCAAAATCTGCAGCAAGTTCCCTCTGCCTATATCGTTGAACCCACTCATATAGCTTATTGAAAACAGAGAAGCTCCATTTCGTTCCAGGGTCTCCTCATGTGGAACAGCTTGCAAGATTACTGTAATGTGCCACAGCAGAAGTGTCCAGAATAAGATTGAAATGTTGGAGTATAAAAGCTGATGGGTTACCTAATACCCATACCTACTTAGGTACCATTTGGGGGTAGACCAGATGACCTCTTCTGAGGTTGCTTCTAACTCTGTGATATCTCCTCCATTATTTCATTGATGGTATTTAATGCATGTATTGCTTGAACAAATGCAGGCTTGTGTTATTGTTTCTTGCATAGAAATAAATTTGGCTGAAAAAGCTTTTAATTTTCTAGATGCATACTTCTACTGGAGGAGGGTTTTGTGACTGTGGAGATACAGAAGCATGGAAGGCTGGACCATTTTGTACTAAACATGAGCCTGGAGCAGCAAGTACTACACAAGAGGTAGGAATACCAAATGAAGCATAGGTGACGTGATGGGGGGAGGTACGGTTAGCCCTACTGACTGTGTCCTCGCATTGTCGGCCCATGTTCATCTTGGAGTCAATAATGACTTCAAGATCTCTTTCTGCCACTGTGCTTTCAAGAAAAGAGTTCCCCAGCCTATAGGTATGCTGCTGGTTCCTACTGCCTAAGTGCAGCACCCTGCACTTGTCAGTATTGAATCCTATCCTATTCTCATTTGCCCACCCCTGTAACCTGTCCTTCCCTTCTAGCGTGCCCACCTTACCCAAATCTTGGTGTCATCTGTGAATTTAAACAGGGTGCTTTTCACCCCCTCGTCCAAGTCGCTAATAAAGAAATTGAACAGTGCGGGCCCAAGGACCGAGCCCTGGGGGACTCCACTGTCCACTTCCCTCCAGGTTGAATATGACCTGTCCACCACCATTCTCTGAGTACGATCACTCAGCCAATTTGCAATCCATCTGACTGTGTAGGCATCAATGCCACAGTCACCTGCTTTTTAATGAGAATGGGGTGGGGGACAGTGTTGAAGGCCTTCCTGAAGTCCAGAAAGACTACATCCACTGTGATACCTGTGTCCAGTGATTTTGTGACCCGATCGTAGAAGGCAATCAGGTTGGTCTGACAGGACCTGCCCCTAATGAAACCATACTGGTTGCCCTTGAGCATCATCCCTGCTACTGGCCCATCACAGATATGCTCCTTGATAATCTTCTCAAAGAGCTTCCCCAGGACTGAAGTAAGACTAATGGGCCTATAGTTGCCCAGGTCCTCCCTCTTCCCTTTTTTAAAGATGGGGACCACATTGGCCTTCTTCCAGTCGTCCGGCACCTTGCCAGAGCACCACAAGTGCTTGTAAAGCCGTGCCAGGGGCTCCGTGATAACCCCTGCCGATTCCCTCAACACCCTGGGGTGGAGAGAATTGGGACCTGCCAATCTGAACACATCCAGCCCCTCCAGAAGTTCCCTAACTCAGTCCTCCCTGACCCTAGGTCTGGCGGAGTTTCTCCTGAGTCTGTCCTGAATCTCAGTGGGGGAGTCCCGGTCCCTGCACGAGAAAATGGAGACAAAGAAATTGTTAAAGAGGTCAGCTTTCTCCTCTGGTGCACCCACCAGATTGCCAAGCATATCCTGCAGGGGCCCCACATTACCCGGTGCCTTCTTCATACTCCCTATGTATTTAAAAAAAGGACTTTTTGTTATCCTTGATGCTAGCCCTAGTTCTGTATCCGCCTTAGCTTTCCTAATAGCCCCCCTACAGACCCATGCAGTGGAGGTATACTCCTCTTTGGTGATAGCCCCTCCCTTCCACTGGGTATACACCTCCTTTTTGGCAATCGGGCATTCCCGAATGCCCTTGGTGAGCCAGGGGGGCTTTTGGACACTCTTGCCCCCTTTGCTTCTTGTTGGGATTGTCACCCCTTGGGCTCTGAGTATCATCTCCTTAAGGAATGACCACTCATCTTGGGCACCCAGTTCCCCTACTCTCCAGGACCCCAGTGCCTCTCCTACTAATCTCCTCAACTCATTGAAGTTGGCCTTCTTGAAGTCAAGGGTTATTGCCTTGCCACCCTTGCTGGATGGTGAATTCCAGCAAGTGATGATCGCTATCACCCAGGTGGTCGAGGACCTGGAGTCCCCTCACCAGGTCACCCATATTTCTGTGCCAACAGTGGAACACAGGGCTGAAACCCAACAGGAGCCAGTACCCAGCAGTACTGGGGGCAGTGACAGAGGTGTGATTTCTGTGCTGATGGTGGGGCACAGGGCTGGAGCCTAGCTGGATCCAGCAGCTGGGACAGTGGTAATGGAGATGTGCCCTGCCACTACGAACACTTGCCATATCATCTATAAAATAAAGGAAAAATATCATAAATCATTAAGTGCTGCTTTGAATGTTTGTCCACGTGTTTCACACCTTTTATTATTGGTATGCATGCAGTATCCCTTGACGAAAGTGGGATAAGCTACTTCACATTTGTTGGGGGATAAGTGCATGCAAACCGGTAGTTAATATGGAGTAAGTTCTCACCATAGGTTACTTTGTTTTTGTGCCTGTATCCTGAGTCGCCTTATTTATACCTCATGTGACTAATATATGTTCCAGATTCTCTTAAGGACAACAGCTAGAGATTTCAGATGAGGTGGTTCTAGAAAAAAGACACCTTCCTCCCCCACCCTGATATTTGGCGCGCGCGCGCACACACACACACACACACACACACACACACACACACACACACACACGAGATATTTGATGTACACACACATCCTGATATTTGGCAGGATTGATGGGCTCACCTTTTGAATCCTTAGCTTTATGTTCCCTGTTTTGCTTTTCTGATAAAACTGCTGTCTTGGTAGTGATAGCAGCAGCCAGAAGAGTAGGTCAGAAAATTGTTGAGACTTTTGTCCAAAATATTTCAAAAAAGAGTTTGACTAATTACACCAGGTTATCCACTTCTCTGTATTTTTTCTAGAACAGCATTCAAGCAAGAGTGAGGGAAGCTGTAGACGTTAAATATTCTTGTAGCACTGTGCTGAGACATTTAACATTCATTTGTGCTACCACTCAAATGGGAAGCAGTTCAGAGTTGCTCAGAGCGACCTGATCCCTGGAACTCACAGTCCAGGCTCCACAGAGTGGCCTGCTTCTTATCTTCAAATGCATGTCTTATATACTACAAATATAAAGGAAAAAGTTATTTTGCTTTTGAATTCCTTTTAAGTTTGGTTAAACCTGAGAGTACATGTCTGCAAGGTAAGGGTAAAAATAATTTTCAGAATAGTAGAGGTATTGAAAATAAATAACTTCAGCTACTAGAAACACAAGGCAATCACAGTTACTTTTTACATTTTAAGAAATCCAGATACCATATTTTCTCAAACAAAGCATGCACTGCCCCCAGCCAGCTTGGGGACACTGGGGGCATGCATTTCATGAAAGAAATATAGACCACCGTGTGCAGGGTCCAGAGATTTGGCAGCAGGGGAGTAGTGGCAGTGTTAATTCCTATGGCTTCTAGAACAGCTTTGGGATCCTATGCAATTAATGCTACCACTATTTCCCTGCCACCAAATTTCTGGACCCCTGGGGATACCCCCACTGAATGATATGGCCCCTCATGCTGGATTAGTCCAGCACATGGGTTTGGTCTGTTAAAACCAGGGAGTGTATAATATACTGGGGCCATGGGAGATGTGAAAACATAAGAGTACATTGTTTCAGCACAGTTTTCTGAAGCGCTAACCTGTCAGATTCTGTAGTGGTTTTCAGAGGGTTTTTACTTTTATTTTTATCCTTCAAGTTAATGTTAGGGCTTCTGTACTTTCACTACAGCTTAATGCACTTTTTATTACTGAATATAGTATAGTATCATACTTCACACTTAACTGTAACTGCCTCTACAAGTTGACAAATAGGCCCTTAGTTTGGTACCTTTTCAATAACTAGATATGCAGGGAGGTGCTCTTTTCCTTTTTAATTTCTGCTAGAGACCAAGCACATCCTCACTTTGGGGTAAGAAGAGTGGGTTGAGTTTTCCGAGAGTGGAATCTTGCTCCCTTATGTAGTGCAGTGCTTCTCAAACTATCTGATGTGGCAGACCGGCAATTTTTTTCCAGTGGGCCAGGGACCAGTGCCCGGTTCAGCCAGTGGCAGCAACTGCGTGTAACAGCGCTACACAAATACGCATCCGGCTGTTTCTTTCTCTTTCCTCACCTCGCACGACGTGACGTCACCTGGAGTGTTGGAACATACAAACTGTGGCGCTATGACATATCAATGTTATGCTTCTGAAAATATATTTCTTTCTTTCCTGGCAACTCGTTGTGGACTGGCGACTGGTGGCTCGCGGACTGGCACTGGTCCGCGGACCGCCACTTTGAGAAGCACTGATGTAGTGGATTACTCTTCTTTTCAGAATATCCCTGTCTCCCCTAGCTTTTTTCCCCCCTCTTATCTCAAAGTCTGGTTGGCACATATTATCAGGGGATTAGGTCAATGTAACAGTGGTGATATGAAGCCCAGCTTGTCTAGTTTCTTCTGTGTATTTGTGTAACTTTACTCTTTTTAAGGAAGCTGATAGCATTGTCAATTAGGAAATAATTAAGCCCAATGGTTTAAGTCCTTATTTTTCAGAATCAGTAAGAATATGATTTTACGTTGTATGTGTTTAGATGAAGATACCTACAAGCATTTTAGCTGACAGCCTTGACTTCTTTTAATGCTCATCAGGCCAGGAAAAGACTGCCTCTAACAACCCGGAAAGCCATTGGCCATTTCAGTTAATTACTACTTCTTTCACTATTCTTCCATGTTTTCTGTGAGAATGAATACTGTATCTTGTGCAGTTTTTTGTTTGATTATTTCTGTTTCATGAACGTATAAGTCCATAGCTGCTTTGGGAAGTTCTAGAAGCCATATTTCTGCAATAGATCTAAACAGATCATTACCACTATTTTATATCAACTTTTGCCAAATAAATCATCTAGCCCTGTAGGCCAAATGAATGGCACAGGGACAGTCCAAAGGTTTAATTCAGCATGAAGTCCGTACACGTGTCTGATGTGTGCGTGTGTTCCAGTGTGCTAGCTTTGATCCAGCCATGATCCAACCCTGTATGCCACCCCACCCCATGTGCTGGATCCAGCCGTGACCCATCCCTGTGCACCAGATCATTATGTCAATGGAGTGGCTCTGCACCCGGGCCTGTGTTATTAAGTCTGCAGAGTTCTCCACGTGTCTGGAAATTTGGGGAGGGGGGAGGGAGTGGTGCAGCATTGCCCTGGGCTGGATGATGTCTTGCAGGCTGAAGGTTGAGCACTAGGGCTGTACAAACCTTCAGTCCCTGATTTGATTCCGCCCAAGATGGTGGCCAAATCTCTGAATTGAATCAGGAGACCCTTTAATCTCTCCAGATTGAATTGGAACCCTCTGAATTGATTTGGAGAGATTTGGTGATTCGGAGATAGACACAGCTTTAAATGCTTTTTCTATGTATCTCAAGGTACCAGGTAGCTCATCAGCGCTGATATGCTGGGGTGGATGGAACGTCCCACAGGAGTGCAGGGGTCTCCCTAGCATGCTCAGCAGCAGACCCAGAAGTGGACCAGAAGCACTTCCAGTCCACTTCTGAGTCTGCCAGGGAGTGCACAGGGGAGCCCCCCCGCGCCCCTCTGGCTTGGCGACTGGTGCTTCCTGCATCTGGGGGGCACCTGGGGTTCCCTTGTGGCCGATCGCCAAGCTGGAAGGGCGCGGGGGGGGCTCCCCCGTGTGCTCCCTGATGGGTCTGGAAGTGGACCGAAATTACTTCCAGTCCACTTCGGGGTTTGCTGCTGAGCGTGCAGGGGGGGCCCCCCGTGCTCCTGTGGGATGCTCCATCCACCCCAACATAGCAGCATTCACGAGCCACACCTGGTACCTTGAGGTATGTAGAAAAAACATTTAAAGCTGTGTCTATGGCCGAATCACTGAATCAGCATTGAATCTTCAGATTCGGATTCGGCCAAATTGAATCGGGGACAGCGATCTGAATCAATGAATTGAATCACTCTCCCCAATTTGGGCCAAATCCGAATCGAATATAGCCCGTTTCACACACCCCTATTGAGCACCACTGAAATAAACCATATGTGCTTTTGATACTTTTGTGAATGGAAATTAGATGTGAAGACTTGTTCTTGGAAAGCCTCTTTGCTTCTTATTTTCCCTCCCTCTGCCCAGCACACTTGTTCTGACATTTCTCATAATAACTGTTTAGAGAATCCTCAGATTAATGGAAAATATATCTAGAAACACCATAGTGCTTTGACAGTATGTCAACCTCTGTGTATCTAGACACCCCATAGTGCTTTGACAGTATGTCAACCTCTGTGGCAAAATCATGTCTGTATGCAAAGTTACCTCGCTTATACTTATAAGCATAGATACCAATACACAGTACTATTTTATATGTTGAAACAGAGCTGTTCTCAGGAAAAGCTCAATTTTATTCAGGGTTTAATTTACCCTTCCTTTTTAGGTCCCACTTTAATTTCAATCCCTTATTTTCACAGGAAAGAGGGATAGTAAAACAGATTTGTACCTGGTGACTGTGGCTGGGCCATCATTTCTGCCCCATCTCTGTCATATTTTTCGTTACTCTTTTCTTCATTTGTAGATAGTACTTCTGTTCTGGTCAAAAAATTCCTAGGAAGGATTAAGGAACAAACCGATCAATCTGTAAAAGAACATACTGACCATTGCTCAGGAGAACAGTATTCCTTTTCAGTGACGTGTGTATGACAATAATATGATTCCAGCTTTACTTTGTATATTATTAACCTCCTTATTTCTCTCACTGCCTGTGGAGTAATTTATATTTGTTACTTTTTTTCTAGAATGGGTACACTAGTCAGCTATGCTCCCAAGCCTTTTTTCCATTTGTGTATCTATATCCTGTGTTGACATATTTTCCTTATTTACAGAATTCAGAATGCCAGCTAAATGAAGAGGTAATGGCACAAGCCAGGAAGGTGTTCCCTTCTGTCATACAATATATTGCTGATATGACCATCTGGAAAGAAGAGAAGGAACTGCCTCCAGAGCTCATGACTAGGTGTGGAATATTGTCAGCATTTTCTCAAGTGTTAAAACCTCCATTCAGATTTTTTTAACATGTAGGTATTAATTAGGGCGGTGCAGAATTTTGCTGGCCGTTTCATTTTGACTTGTTTCAAGCTCAAAACAGCAAAATCGAAAGAAAACAAAGGGCTTCGAAACAGCCTCGAAATGAAACGAGGGCAGTTGAAATGTTTTGAAATGTTTCGAGTTTCGAACCTCAAGCTGGGCTTGCCTGCGAGGAAACAGAAAATAAGGAGAGGGAGGGGGAAGGACTATTCTGATATTGACTGTGTAGCTGGCCAGTGACTGTGATCTTTCCCTGAGGTCCCTTCCAATCCCAGTGCTCTGGGGGAGGGATGGAAAAACAGCATAAATGGCAGCATTGTTTGACCTGGCCTGCTTTCTGTCACCCATGTCATGAGTTTTGCTTGTCAGCAACCTGAGGTGCAGTTTCCCAGAAACCCCTGCTCTTATCTCCTTGAAAGCTGGTAGGCTTCATGGCCTCAGCAGGGGCTACCATGCCTTCAGTTTTCACCCCTCTGCACCTTAACGCACACGTGACATGAGTTTTGCTTTCAAGACTTTGAGGAGCATTTTCCCAGAAACTCCTGCACCTAAAACTTGGCAGACTCCGTGGCCTCGGAAGGGGCTACCATCCCTGCAAGTTTCATCCGAATCAGGCAAGAAATGACAAAGTTATAGGCAGTTTTGTGCTTCCCCCTTATAGCCTATGTGCGAAACATCAAAACAGTGTTGAAACAGCAAAACAGTTTTGACAAAATGAAATGGAACAATGGTTTCGAAACTAAATGAAACACTGTCTTATCAAAACATTGAAACAGAAGTCAAAACGAAACAGTGCTGTTTCGCACAGTCCTGGTATTAATGTCCTGTACACACTTGTTAGTGCCAGTTCTCTGTATATCCCTGCATGACATTTTGGGACAACACTTTTATATATGTAAAGATTTGACTTTTTATGGAAAGGTTTGTTTGGTGCCAAGTGTTGAATTGGTTACGCTGGAAATTTTGAAAAAAGCCTCCTCCATCAAGGTGTAAAGAGACCACACTTTTTTTTTCCGAAAAGCAAACTAAGATCATGAAAGTGGTTGGGAGGAGAAATCCTTGCAGAAATAACAGATGACTTAAATGCACTCTTGTACTTGTGTTAGGCTAATGCCAATAAGTTGGTGTCATAGTGAAAACACCATATATTACCTTTTACACTAATGTGATTTTTCAGCCAGGGTGGTGCAACATGCTGGGGTCCCTAAGATCCTTTTAAGGGTACCACACTGTGTTAGCCCTGTTAGGTATACAAACATGATTCACACAGTAACTCCAGAGATTTCAGATAGGAATCTGTAGTGTTAAAAAATATTCTGCCCTGTTGTGGACTTTCTGAATTGCTCTTGTTCTTCTGTAGTCAAAAAATAAGGGAAAATGAAGAGCTGGCATTTTCCAAGGGCTGCCTCAATTGTATTCTGGAGTGCTTTGAGTCTAGAAAGATTGAAGACCACTGACTTAAGCTGTCACTCGTGTCAGTTCTGGAGACACAAAAAAGTTCCTACTGTAGATTAGGTGTAGTAAGAGAATGAAGGTTTTCCTTGCTTTTTATAGAACCTGGAGCTGAGGAACTAATTTAATTTTCCTTTTAAATTTGTTGGTTATATTTGTCAGTTTCTTCCATAAACTTGCTTGTGATCTCTTACCAAAGTTTGGATAAACTTTAAATTTAATTTGAATTTTCTTGTAGTTTATTTGAGGATGAATAAAAATTAACTTTTTTTATTGTATTTTTAAATTTAAATCAGATTTTTTTGTTTAATTGTATTTTTTATTTTAAGATGCTTTTAAAAAATAAACCTATATAAAGATAGCTTTGATTTAAGATAAAAGATCAAAGATATCATGGAATAGAGTTTCTAGCTTCTAATTGTATACTATTTAATTCAATATATTCATGTAACCTTTTTAGAAAAGTTTTATAAATAGGTCACAACAGGCCATGGACTGTATTAGGGGCCCAATCTTATGGGGCTCCTCTATAGATTAGTAAAGATTAAAGAAAACAACTCTACCCAACAGGACTCAGTGCTCAGTCTAGAAGTTCCTACTAAGCATCTCTGTGATGCTTAGTTTTGGTTCTCACACCGTGGATTTAGGTCTCCAGAGATAACATCCTTATTAACAGCAGTATATAGAGATGAGATGAGAGATAACAGACCTGATCACCCCTCTTGTCTCACTGCAAGTTTGTATACACAGAGTCAAGCCCTTACATCTCTCTAAAAGTGCAAAATTTCAAGAAGTTAAATGAATAGAGGATATCAACCAAGAATGCACTTTTTGTAGAAAACAATGATTAAATAGAAGCTTCCTGACCAGTGAGTTAAACTGAGATTTAAATCATGATTTAAATCAATTTGATTAAAATCAAACACTGCCTGGTTTATTTAATTAAATATTGGCTTGTTCCCAGTAGAGAGAAGACTGATAATTACTACTGTGTCCTTTTCAATGATGAACATCATTCTTATGACCATGTCATCTACAGTCTACAAAGGGCACTTGGCTGTGAATTTGGAGAAGCCCAGTTACATACAACAGCCATAGATAAAGAGGTTAGTATACTCTGTGTGCAGTAGAAATTCCCTTTTTTTATGCATTAGGCACTGCTGGTTGTAATGCTCTGTTCATAGTAACTGTTTCTGAGCTGTTGGAGCTTGAAAAGAGATAATTGCAGAGACTGCAAACTAATTGTTAGTCAGTAGTTGCATGGAATATAAATGATGATTAAAGAAGGTGATCTGGTTTTCATGTTGCATCAATGTGTTGTTCAAGACACAAAACAGGTTCCTAGAAAGGGGAGAAACCACAGATTTATTAGTTGAGGTTATTCCGTTAAACACAGCCATCTTTTTCTTACTCGTATAAAAGAGTTTTATCTTTTAAGTTCTGTTTGGGTGAGGGAACTATGCATTTCAGATAAATGGTATTAAAAGAAAAATATAAAGTACTGTCTTGCATACGTGGTAGTAATTTAGTCAGAATGATAGGCTACAATTTGCAGTCTTCTGATTCAGATTCTTGTAGCGTTTGATCTTTAAAGCTGTGAATCAAATGGATAAAATCAATTAAATTCCATTTGGAGGCTGACCATTGCACTTTTGCTTTCCTGACAACAACACTAAATAATACCTCTGTAAATATCTGTTCAAAGTCAGTTGTGGACTTTGAACAGTTAATTTAAAGAATAGTCACTTAAAAAAAGATAAAATCAAAGAAATGTCCTTAATTATGTTAGATAATTTAGGTTCTTGTTCAATAGTGTAACTGTACTAGTAGGCTGCCTGAGAAATTTTTGAAGTGCATATGCATGCATATGTATGTGTGAACATATGCATGTGGATTTATAGGTGCATAAAATATAGTAAAGTTTGAAGTATTTATAAAAACATGGACTTTTGATATTTTACATTTATTCCTGGTTTAGGCAATAAACAAATTTGCTTAATATTTTTATAGTCTCACTGTCTGCCTCATGTACTACCACAATGCTACATTGCCTGTTCTGCAAACATTACAGAAGACAAAAAATCTTTCTATAATAGTTTTTAAAGAAAGGTAATGTTTTTTGTTCCTTGATTTTATCCAAGATTGCTTTTTAATAAAATCTAAATTTTGGGTCAAAATGACCTGAATGTCCCTTTTACTATGCAGTAGAGATTATGGTACTTTAAAAGCAAAATGCACCAGTGTGCGCTACTGAATTTTAAATAACAATAGATTTACAACAGGACAATGCTTAATCCTAATTTTTCTTTAATTTTGCTGGGTAGAAGAGCCATTTAAAGACCATATGTATAGTTTTCTCTCTGTAGAATTGGAGACTGAGCTCAGATGGCTTCAGTCTATTGTCTTGGAGCAAAGTCTACAAGTGCTACCAAACTTATTGCTGTGAATATTTCCCCAAACTGATTTATAGAAATAAGAATTTAATCAATAGAAAAAGAGGAAAGGGGAATTGAAAAATAGGTGATAGGACAGGATGAATGCATTTTCTGCTAGGACAAAAATAGACACTGATTTTGGATACAGTATTTTGCAGAAGTCTCATTCTTTTATTTTGTTGCAAATGTTAGTTCCTTTATTATATGATAGCTTTAACATCTACACCCTTTTATGTCTTCATTTTGACATATTGTTACTTCAAATTATGTTAGTCTGAAAACTACTCATTTTTTGCATTGTTTCATTCTCAGATATTCTAGAGCACCATATAATGTGTAACTTTTGTCCCGATTTCTCTTTGAGTGATGTAATTTTAGTTTAATTTCAAATTGGTGTCTTACTCAGTATTTTGTTATTTAAACAGGGTCGTAGGGTTGTTAAAGCAGGTCCTTATGCATCTTGTCAAGAAGCAAAGGAGGAGATCAAGGTAAATTCATCCAGTCTTTTTCTTGACATAAAAAATATGAAGGCACCAGTACTAATACTGAACTTATTTTTCTTGATGTTTTTTGAATCCTTTGATTTTTATCTAACCATCTTTGGTTGTGCTAGATGCATGTGTTGAAAACTGTCCCAAATAATTAGTTAATTTTTATGGCTTGTGACAGTGATGGTGGGACCTGAAAGTATTAGGAAGGTGACAACTTTGGAGTATTATCAAACTGTATTTTCTTTTATTTTAACATGACTTCTAGAGACACTCTGAGAATGTTTCCCAACGACCACTTCACGTGGAGGTTCTGCATGCTGATGTTGTGGCTCATCAGAAATTTGCTTTACGCCTAGGTTCCTGGTTAAACAAACTTATGAGCTATTCAAGTAAGTGTGTAACTTTTTTTATTCCAGTAATGGGAGGCCAAAAGTTTAAACAAGTTTAGAAAACATCTCGGGTAGTAGAACTTGGAGTATTTCCTGGTTAAAATATTTCTACTTTTCTGCACACTAAAATGGATAATTAATATGTAAATTAAATATCTATTTTTATTCCTCCTCATCTCATACCTGGCCCTGGACTTTTCAAACCTTTAATGTAACCAGTTCCACTATTGTGTGGATGGTTACTTTGTTTTGGGTCTATCTCTGAATGCTGCTCCTCCTAACATTGGTGTTGGGCCACAAAATATATCCTTCCCCCCAGTCAATATAATCAAATTCTGTTCAGTACTAGACACAGAACTGGCTTCAAGATTTTGAAGTGGGCTTGTAAAATGATTCTTTGCGGGGTACACCAAACTTGTAATGACTTGTTTTATATAATATGTACATGGGGGGAAGATCCACAACCACTGGAAACCTTTTCAAAAAGGAAGCAGTCCAAATGGGCAGCAGCTGGTATATTTTAATTATGTGTGAACAAGCTGAGAGAGATTCAGATGCAGCAAACCTGCTCCAACTTTAACATGCCTTCATCCAGGAACTTCACAGTAGTTTTTCTCAAAGGTTGATGCTAGTTTTCTCTCTCTCGTAACAGTGAATTGAGTCACCAAGATTTTTACTTCATGGTAGCAAAATTGCATTACTATCAGAAATGAATATATGGGTTCATTTCCTAATTGTCTAGTTGTCATCTTTGACCAGTACTTTTCTTTCTTGCAAGTGGTACAGATGTGATTAGTGAGTTTGAAGTCCTGTAAAACTTAGATCACAGGGCTTCTCTACTTAATTCACATTTCAAGCTAATAGCTGAGGTTGATTGAGCATGTCCTTTAGAAAAACATCCAGTTTTGATTTAAAAAAAATCAGTGATTAGAAAAAAGGCACAAATTTCTTACAATGAGAATTATTCACCAATAGAATAATTTTCCCCAGGGCTGTGATAAATTCTCCAAGTCTGCATTTGTCTTAACTTCAGGTTCCAGCCACTAGATCCCATTAACTTTTGTCTACTAAATTAAAGAACCCATTATCAAATTTCTGGTCCCATGTAGGAACATATAAATGGTGACTTAATCACCATCTGGTAATGGAGCAGTACCAATTGATAACATTTCTTATTTTCTTAATATATATAACATACTTTTATGTCCATTTGTTTCCAGTATAAAACCTTTACACTTCCTAACTTTGACTTTATATTAATTGCTGTAAGCCCTTTAATTTCTATTGGTCATGTAGGCTGTTTGCAGCCATTAAAAAAAACAAACAGAAAACAACACCCCCCCCCCAATGGCATTTTAAACTTGAACGCATTCCCAGAAGAAGCAGCACATTAGTTGCACCTGGCTCACCCAACATCTGTATAGATCAAATGCTTTAGTGGGGCTTTTTTGGTGCTTTTATCCAATAGCTGATTGACTCAGCTTTAGATAAAAAGTGCCAAAAAACCCTGCTGAAGTGCCCGGGTTATACAGCCACTGTGTAGCTGGGTTAAAGTAATGCATTGCTGCTTCTGTTAAAGCACGTTTTTTGGGGGTTTTTTAATTATTATTTTATGTCTGTAAGCAGCCATGTTGCCCATTCAGTTAGGATGTCTTTTTAGTCAAAGTATTCTTTCTTGATTGTTGCTATTTGTTTTCTGACAGAATGTTCTGTAAGTTGCTTGTTTTTACCTGTAGTTTTTATGATTTTTAACTGATGTTTAGAATCCTACAAAAGCCTGTATAATTTGGCTATGTGAGGACCCTGTGCAGGGATCAGGAGTAACTGGATCAAAACCCCATATGATCTTCCTACTTCTGTGCTAGTGCAGAATCTACTGTTCCAGGCTGTCTTGTCTTCCCTATTGAAATTGTCTGTCTTCTGCACCCCCAGGGCTTTTGCTGTTAAATCAGATAAATATAATATATAGAGATCAGTGAAATTATCTAGGATATTTAAGGTATTGAGCAGTGTTCTCTCTAAGCTGTATGTGTACGCAGCCATGCACAATAAAAAATCCCCATAATTGGATTCTATACCTGGCAAATTTATATTTTTCCAGGTATAGAATTTAATTATATGGAGGTTTGTCTTGAATTGCCCCTCTCCCACTGCTACAGCAGGGAAAATTAAATCTGGGGGGTCCCCCTGCCACCCCTTCCCAGTCCCTATTATGGAGGAGGGAAGATTCGAGAAACTATAGGCTGGTCAGTTTGAACTCAGTACTGGGTAAAATTTTGGAAAAAATTATCAAAAACTCCATTTGTGAGAGACTTGCAGAAGGGATGATGCTGAAGGATAACCAACATAGTTTCATTGCGGGCAGGTCGTGTCTGACCAACCTCGTCTCTTTCTGTGATCAAGTAATGAACCGCTTAGAGTGGGAGACATGGTTGATGTCATATATTTGGATTTTAAAAAGGCCTTTGATATGGTCTCTCATGACGCTTTTATTAAAAAAACTGAGGGATTGTGGGCTGGCAGAGTCCATGGTCAGGTGCGTTGGGAACTGGCTAAGGGCTCAAACCCAGAGAGTGTTAGTGGACAGGTCTGTATTGTCTTGGCGGGCAGTGGCTAGTGGTGTCCCGCAGGGTTCGGTTCTTAGGCCTGTACTGTTCAACATCTTTATCAATGATTTAGGTGAGGATGCAGAAAGCATGCTGGCCAAGTTTGCAGATGATACTAGGTTATAGGGGAAAGTTGTCATGCTAGGGCAGGGGCAAGCAAAGTCCGGCCCAGGAGCCGGAGCCAGTTGACAGTGGACTCCATTTCCCAGCTGCCCCTGAACATGGCTGGGGCCAGTCTCCATGAAGACACCAGCCACAGCGGCATGTGAAAGCGCAAGGCTGGGGTTGCAGTGGAAACCAGCTCCAGCCGCACTGGCAGGGTGTGCAGCAGAGTAAGTAAGGGGGCTGCTCTGGAGCCACTGGGATCTTGCGGCAGGGGCAGCTTGCTCTGGGTCCAGGGCACAGCTGCAATCTGTGGTCTGGGCAGGGATGCACAGGCAGCAGATCTCAGCTCTGCTTCAGTCATTTTGCCCACCCCTGTGCTAGGGGATAGGATGCGGATCCAAGCTGACCTGGATAAGCTGGAAAGGTGAGCAAAGCAGAACTGGATGCAGTTCAATAAAGATAAATTTGGGTGCTTCATCTGGGGAGAAGTAACCAGCGACATGAATATAGGTTAGGAGATGTCCTGGCCAGCATGATGGCTGAAAGGAATCTTGGGGTTATGGTTGATCACAGGATGAATATGAGCCGCCAGTGCAATTCTATAGTCAACAGAACTAATAGCATACTGGGATGCATTAGCCAATGCGTTGTAACTAGGGCTAAGGAAGTGATGCTTCCTCTCTACTTGGCATTGGTGAGACCTCAGTTGGAGTACTGTGTCCAGTTCTGGGCACTGCACTTCAAAAAAGACGTAGAGAATCTTGAAAGGGACCAGAGAAGGGCCACAAGAATGATTAAGGGCTTGAAGGACAAACCTTATGAGGAAAGACTAAGGGATCTGGGACTGTTCAGCCGGGGGAAGAGAAGACTGAGGAGGGACTTGGTGGCAGTCAGTAAGTACGTAAGAGGTGAATATTGGGAGCTGGGAGAAAAACTGTTCAGTAGGGTGCCCAAGCGAGGACAAGGAGCAGCAGCCATAAACTGTTGAGGATGATTTCAGGCTGAATGCAAGGAAGAACTTCTTTATGGTAAGGGTGACGAGAATCTAGAGCAGACTTCCCAAGGAGGTGGTACAGTCCCCAGCCTTGGAAATCTTCAAGAGGAGACTGGACAGACACATTGCTGGGATCATTTGATCTCAGCAGTATTCCTGCCCAGAGCAGGGGTTTGGACTCAATGATCTTTTGCGGTCCCTTCCAGCCCTTAATTTCTATGATTCTATGATTATTGTCAGATCCTGTTCTCCCTGAGCACATGAAAATGGGGGGCAAATTTGAAAACACTGACTGAAATAAACATTCCTATAGTAATTTGCCTATATGCAGATTACTACAGACTGAATTCATCCAGAGTGTATTTTACCTTTTTTTGAAACCGTTGCAAGTTTTAGCACAGGTGCTTTATAAACACACTTTTCAACAGCACTTTTGTACTTACTTTACAAACTATGCTTAATATCAGTCCAAAACCAAAAGGCTTATGATTTACCATATAGTTCTGATTTACCAGATAGTTCATTGGGCTGGGCCCCAGCAGAATCAAGTGTTTCAAGCCATAGTGATCCTGCAGCTTAGCGCTGCTCAGTATGTGTGTTCTTCACACAATCTCCACAAAGGAGCCATGTGCTAATTAGCCCCCCACTCATGACTGAGTGTTCTTGTCATGAGTCCTAGGATCCTCCAAAAATTTATATACAGATGAGGCAACCTACTCTGGCTCTACCTCATGGAGGGCAGGACAATGCTAATTGTATGCAACAGGCTGAGAGTGGGGGCAGCACAGGGGTTCTGGGTGAACTGTTTGGGGCACCATTGGTGGTGTTTGCCAGGCATTTAAGGCTGCTGAAGAAACAGGATTCCTTGGAAATAGAAAAGAAACGTGGAACTGTGCTGTGCGAATGAAGAGGAAGTCAAAATTTATTCAGTGTTGTGGCTTACCATGACTTGAAAAAGAGTCAGTGTTGAGGGGAAGCATATAATGGGCCACTACCATATTTCTTATTCAGATGGGCTGTACTAATCTATGCTTGTGGTTGGGTTCCTATCAGCATCTCTGCTTTCTCAGCTTCTTGAAGGCTCAGGACAATTGTAGTGACTTCTTAACGTGGCTGTGAAATACCATGTATCTGTGTCCGTGAAGTCAGTTTTCCTGAACCATGCTACAGGAGAACTGCTCTTCTGGTGTGCTTCAGTACCTGCCAAGGTACAGCGGCTTTAAACCCAGTTTATGGAAATAGGAGTCTCTTCCCTTGCTTGCTTTAAGGCCTTATGGTTAAGGATGAGCAAAACTCAGGGGCATCCGAACTCCAGGCCCCTTGGGCCTGCAAGTGGGATGGCCACCAAAGGTTTTGGAACCATCTGAAGCCCCAGGTGTGGGTGGAGGATATTTGTTGGTAGTAGGGCCACTTATGGTTCTGGACTCTTGGATTTGGAATTAGTTTTGGCTAATTTGGCCTCAGATACAAATTAAAAAAAAAATCTGCTTTCTTATGGGCTAAGATCAAGTGTAGTCTGATGGACTGGTCTGATACCTTATCTGAAAATGAAATTAAAATGGCATTGTGTAGTGCAGGGTGCACCCCCGTCTGCTTACAGACAGAACTCCTTGCCTGCTTCCAGCGGGAGGATCTCAGCTACACACTGACTTTATGGAAGTGGGAGACTCCTCCCTAGCTTGCTGCTGTAGCCATACGGCTGAGGACAAGCAAACCTTGGGGGCATCTGAACCCCAAGCTTCCAGGCTTGTGCCTTCATGTAGGATGCCTGCCAAAGGATTTGGAAGTATCAAGCCCCAGGCTGGGGTGAAAGATGCTTGCCAGTAGCAGGGCCACATATGGTTCTTGAGTGATTCAAACAGATTTGGATTTGATCTGGCTAATTTGACCAAAGAACATGAACAATTAAAAAAAAAAAAAAATCTCTGCCTTTTGGCTAAGATCAAGCACTTTTGGTACCAACAGGTGTCAGGGCTGGCTCTGGCCCCCTGGTGCCAGCCTGGTATTGTGTGTGCACCGGCCTGGTATTGCGTGGCTCTCCTGGTGCCAGCTTGGTATTGTGTACACGTGCACATACATGTACACACAGTCTGCATTCAGTCAGCTTCATAGTTGGCTTCCATTACTGAGCACTTGATTTTGGCATTAGTTTAATGATGGATAGTGTATTTAATGAGGTTTCCTTGTATGTGAAAGTAAGACTAGGAGTTTTTTTTCCCCCCATACTGATTGAGGGAAGAACTTTGTCTTATATTCAGGTAAATACAGTATTTCATTGTTTCGACTTCTTGAATAATGTTGATGTGATACTAATGTCTCTTTTTTTCTAGGTGACTTCCGTCAGATCTTCTGTCAAATATGCCTCAAAGAAGAAGCTGACTATGAAAATCCTTGCTTCATAAGCATGTTGATGCTTTGGGATGCAAAACTTCATAAAGGTTGGTATGTATATATTATTCTGGCAAACATAGTAATATAAGTAATAGCCATGCAGTTGAAACCTTTCTTTAGTTTTAGGAAAGCCAAAAGTTTGAGGATACAATTTTTGTTTTTGGTCAAATCTCTCTCCAATCCTTTCCCTCCAGATCTGTGTTCTATGGAGGATTTCCTTGTAGGAAATAATGTGACTGGGCAAATTTGCTGTGGATGCTCAAATCTGTGTCAATATGCAATCAAATGGAAGATCTAATAACCCTTTAAATGCTTTGACATAAGAAACATTGTTTATACATATGTGTAATGGGTAGCTGAAAATCAAAAGAACCCAATACTGGGAGAGACTTCCTGGGTCATTGAGTTCAGTCTGGTACTGTCATAGGCAACCAAGTCCTATAATCCTTTCCATAAATTTATGCATGTAAGTGGTGCACAGTAGAAAATAATAGGAGTAGGAAGCATCTAACAAGAGTGTTATAAAGTAGATATATATTGGAACATTGGAAGAATTTCTAGACAAACAGAAATATGTCTGCCATAATTTTGACCATGTTAACTTCCAAATATTTTAAAGCGAGTTATAGATTGCCAGTTACCAAAGGTTGACCATGTTTGTATACACATAATTATCACTACTTCTAGTGTCTTCTTTCTTCAGCTGCTCCTGTCTTCTTCTTCAAAAAAATTATTGCATAGAATAGAAATGAAGTAAATGGTGTTGAATTTTCACAGGAGCAAGGAAGGTCCTTCATGAGCTTATCTTCAGCAGTTTTTTCATGGAAATGGAGTACAAAAAACTTTTTGCTATGGAATTTGTGAAGGTAATTAGCTGTTCACGTTCTATGCACTGTAGTTTGTGAGGTCAAATATTAGCCTGTGATCTCATCAGCAAAAGGCTAATTGGCAAAATTATGGGTAAAGCATTATTTATTAAAACATATTTAATTTCTTGGATGTTCCATGCTTGTGGTATTTTACAATAAAAGTATATCAAGGAATATATTTTTTAGAGTGGTTACCCTGACCATGTATTAATATCTTCTCTAAATATAAATTGACTTGGTAGCTTCAACAGCTACTGCAGTAGTAGCATCTCCATTTAAGGATACAAATACTGCACACACAGTCTCATAATTTTTGTTGACTAGCTGAGTTGAGTAGTAGGCAGAATAGTCTGAAGAATCAATCTTAAATCTAAAATGGAGTACAAATCAAGCCATAACCTAACAAAAAAAAGGTGTGAATAAATGCAGGATAAAAGCAAAAGTCTTCTAATTATATTACCATAACATGGAAGATATCAAAGTCTTCTGGTTAATTTTAGATGTAGTCCCAAAATACTGAAAGTTATGTCAAAGTAAGCCAATTAACTTTCAAGATAGAACCCTTTTGCAACCCAGTAGAGAGTGATTCTTAATTTCAAGGTAACTAGTTTAATCCTCATATTATGTGTGTGGTGTAGGTGCTCAGGTCCCACAGTGAGAACAGAATGAATAGTTTTAGTACATGTAGTTAGGAATATTTGTTACCTTTGAAACAGTGAATAAACTAGAAAAAATGTAAAGGTGATTTAATATTTGAGAGAGAGAATGCAAGGCTAGTAGAATATATTTTCCTATTATAGGGGAAAATCTAGTTATTAAAAACCTAAATCTGACTCTTGGTATTCTTCATTTGAATTGTCATAAAAGGAAAAGAATTATTCTGACCAATCAGTACCATTCACATTCAATACTGTTCACTGGAGGAGGCAAGAATTTATTTTACAAGAGCTGGGTGACTCCTGTAATTTTTGTGTGTTTAATTTGCCTCCTGGGAGAGGGATGGCAGTGTAGGAGATAAAGGAATTAAGTTCCGATTTGGCAGAGCAATGAAGCAGTTAAGAGGAGTCATGATTCAGGTGTTCTGATCTTAGAGCTCAGCTGGTTGTGGGGCTCTGCAATTCCATGTAGTTTGATCTGGATCTGTGGGGAATGTTAAAGAGGACATTTAATTGCACTGTTCCCTACAAGTGAAAAATTAAACTTAAAAAAGTTCAGTGAACTTTATGGTTGATTAATCTTTTTTCCCCCGATATTCCACTTCCACAGTATTATAAGCTATTGCAAAAAGAGTATATCAGCGATGATCACGAAAGAAATATCTCAGTGACTGCACTCTCGGTTCAGATGTTCACTGTGCCTACCCTGGTATGTATGCCAACCACTACAAGAAATATATTGTGATACTGCAATCCTTTATTACAACCCCATAGCTATAGAATCTACTGTAATTGCTAGGTCATCTCCATGCATTCCTATGGCCAAAGCAAAGTGTGTTTTAATATTCTGTTAAGATAAGTGGATAAATGTCTGAGTTTATAAGACAGTTCATCAATTAAATTAGAAGGAATATGAATGAGTGAAGTATTATTCACAAGTTTGTTCTATATATAAGCCAAGTTTCTGTGTTAGTCTGTTGATAAAAAATTACCTTTTATTATGCAGATTTTTAAAGTGACCTGTAGAGGGGAGAAAGGGAGGGACGTATAATACCTTTTGTTTGTACACAGTTATATATAAAGATCAACAAGGGGTGATCACATGATGTGCTTTTCAGAGGTAGCGTCTGTTGCTTGGTTTTTACAGTAGAAATTCATACTTTTCTTACATTGCTTTCTAGGAAAACTTTAGGTAACTGAAGATAGACTAGTTTCATGACCATTGTACCTGGGTAGTGTATTAAAAAGAAACCTTATTTTAAATAAAGGAACAGTAAGGCATAAATAAGTGAATACCTACCTAAATAAATCCAGGGCATAACCCTCTTGCAGTATTGCATTTTAATGGACATAAAAAGGCACTAAATAAAAACACAGCATTTAAAAAAAATGAACCATATTCCAAAAAAACATTTCTCATAGTCACAGTGGGAGGCCAGAACTACTCTGGTGTAGTGCAGTAATTTACACATCGTGTTTTCCTTGCTTGGAGGATATTTTCCAATAGAAACCAAAGAATTGGCCCTCTTTCCTGCGCTACTTTTTGTCATGCTTCCTAGCAGGCTGTGGCCATCTACTTTTCAGGTGTTGGTTGTCATTGGACCCTTCTTGTCAGGCACCACTGTGGTATAAAATAGCGTTGTCTCCTGACAAACTTTCTACCACTGAATGATTTTGGTCCGTTGGCAGAGAATAATCCCTTACATCTTTGAAGTGATGTGGAAGTTGGTCAAAGGCTGAAGATGCTCTCATCTTCATTTACTGTGTCTTGTCTCAGTTTTGGTCTGGGCATTATTTACTACACTAGAGGCCAAAACAACAGCATAGGACTACACATTTTCATACACTGCTCTCTTTATTGCAGGTATAGCTCAGCTGACATGTATATAGAAGCTTATTTGGCCACTCTTTAGCAATACATTTTATGTTGAATATCCTAATGATAAATTAGTAGAACTAGAAGTTAGTAGAAGTATAGAGATGCTGATACTTTTGTAGTGAGGCAAATTCCTGTTGTTGAAATACCTTCCCTTTACAGGCCCGCCATCTTATTGAAGAGCAGAATGTAATCACCACTATCACAAAGACTCTTCTAGAAGTTCTGCCAGAGTATCTGGACAGGAATGACAAATTCAACTTTCAGGGTTATAGCCAGGACAAACTGAGCCGGGTGTATGCAGTCATATGTGATCTCAAGTAAGTATAAATTTGAAGAGTTTTTCTAACTATATTGCAGAGAATATAGTGTGATGGTGTTGAACTTACGGCCTGTGGGCCAGATCCAGCATTCAGTGTTGTGTGGGCGACAGGTCTGGTAGAGAGGCTAGGCATTTGGGGATGGGGCTTGCCACCTAAATCTATGGCAAGGTGGATGGGCAGGGGGTGGAAGCAAGCTATCGCCATATTTAACCCCATCACTACTGCTTGTGCCACTGCTACTGCTGCTCACTCTGCTAGGATGTCTGGATCTGGTATGCTTGGAGCCCTGTGGTCTGGACGTGCCTGAAAGGCAGGGTGAATTTGACAGCCATGATACAATGTTTGCAAGAGACTACAAAACAGTGTGATGTCCTTCTTTTGGCATGTGCCCAGGGTGAGATTTGTATATACCTTTGGAATTGCAACAAGATTTTTCAGCCACTTAACATCTGCCCCCCAGAAATCTCTATACCATATTTACTTGCAAACAAGGTAGAGATTCCCCTTGCACATTTAACATCCTTGTCTTGGATCTGAGTATAAAGTGGGGGGTGGTGAGGGAGGAGATGGATTGACTGGTAGCTGCTGCGGCTGTGGCTCTGGCTCCAGGCTAGAGAGACAGATGAAGCTGCTGCCTGCCCCTCTACCCTTGGCAGGTTCTTCCCCCCCCCCCCCCCCACACCCTCCCCCCCCCGCTCTTCCCCCCCACCCCCACCACAGCTTCTGCTCCTCTTGCCTGTTCTTCCCCCCCCCCCCAGCCACATATAGAGCCTAGGCCAGAGTTATTGCCACTGCTGCTACTCAGCCAGGCTGGAGCCAGAGCAAGCATGTGCACTGTGCTCCCAGCTGGAGTGGGGCCAGAGTGAGCCAGAGCAAAAGTAAACAGTGGAAGGGAAGAGGGGCAGAGGCAGCAGGGGGGAGGGAGCAAGAGAGTGGGACGGGCAGGAGGGAGCAAGGTATAGGGGAGCAAGGGGCGCAGGGGTCAAGCAGCTTGACCTCTCCCTTCCTGCCCCCTTATTCTCTGCTTCCTCAGCGCCCCATCCCCACTGCTTGCCTCCTACTGCCTCCCCACTGTCTGTCCCCCTTCAACTGCTTTCCCTGCTGCAGCAGTTGGGGGAAAACAACGTAAGATGAACCGCAAATAATTAGGTTCTGTACATGGAAAATCATAACGTATACATTTTTTATGTATAAAATTAATTATTGGGGGGGTCATCTTAAATTCAGGGTCATCTTAGATTTGGGTAAGTATGGTAAGAAACATTAATATCGAAGTGCAACTCCTCTTGTCAGGCTGCATGGAAAATTTGACTCTTATCCTTGCCTTTAAGATACATTTTATACTTGATAAAGCTTCATAGTTTTCCTCATAGTCCTTTCCATTCTGATGGATCTCAAATACCTTTCACAAAGTAGATTGAATAAGACATCTATAACCTAAAATACGTGATACAGACGTACTAGAATTTTAATACCGATAGAATTTTTGATCTGGCTTCTCTGGTGTTTTGGGAAAATATTAATTACAGTTTGAGATCAGGAAGTTGCTCTAAGATGGTGATGTTGGTGATAATTTTAATCAAATGAATATAAAACATGCATGCATGCATATAAGAAGCCTAAACTATGCTGTTTTCTCTTGGGACAGGTATATCTTAATTAGTAAGCCCACAGTTTGGACAGACAGACTGAAGGAATGCTTTTTGGAAGGGTTCTGTTCATTCCTGAGGATTCTGACTTGTATGCAGGTACAGTATATTTATTAATAATTACTAATGCTCTGTTCTAAAGCTGTTAGAATATTTCTGTCAGTTTTTAGCACAGTTTATCTATAGTAGTCTTTGGACTATTAAAGAGACAAAGGCAAGAGCTTACATTTTTAACCTTTTTCATGGGTGGCTATTTGTAGATATAAGACTCGTATAAATTATCTTAATTTTTCTTTCTGACTTAGGGATTTTCTTTTTAAGCATTTGATCATTTACATAAGTGAATATTCTTTGGCACCCTTCATTGCAGGGAATGGAAGAGATAAAGAGACAAATTGGTCAACACATCGAGGTAGACCCTGACTGGGAAGCAGCCATTGCTATCCAGATGCAGCTGAAGAATATTCTTTTGATGTTCCAAGAGTGGTGTGCTTGTGATGTAAGTAAACAACTGCTTTGAGGTTCTTATATGTACTTTCTTGGGTGTACAGGAAGCTTTTTTGAAAAGCTGAACAATAGAAACTGTACAATAGAAAACTTACAGTTCATGTTCCTGAAAAACGAACCCATGAATAAATATTTTAAAAACTGTAGTTCCTTTCACCTCTGTTACTTTGAAAAGAGATTTCAGGTTGTAAGGAAAAATCTCATTTCCCTGATGGGTAGAAATTTAGTCTGATGCTATGGTGGGTCTGGTATAAAAGCTTGGATAAGTAATACAAATAAATTGAATCACAAATATGTAATCATCCAAATTCAAATAATTTATCTGTATGTGTAGCATAGCTAAGCCTGATATTAAACATCACCATAATGACATCTGTTATGTATTTGTATTATATTCCTCTCTTCTGATAGGCCTGTTAACTTGGCAAAAATATAAAAAATGTACTTTATTTTTATTTTTTGACTGAAACAACATATTGGGATCAGGGAAGAATTACTGTATTGGATTTGGGATTTAGAAGTAATACATTTGATTATGTTGAAAGATGGAGTACATATGGCCCACTATTATTTACATGAGTGTTTACTTATAGGTAAGTTGGAAGTTGGGGAATGTGAAGAGAAAGTAAAAGTAGAGAAACTGAATAGAACCCCCCGCTCCCAGTTTCCCATGTTGATAAATAAGAAGTTTTATCACTTAAAACAGGGTTAAAACTCTATTGTCTGTAGTCTTCTAAATTTGGACTGAGTGAGGAAAGCTGTAACGTGAAGGGAGGTCTATTATTGCATGCATTTTTAGGATACTTGGTTCAATGGAACTTAAGCTGTTAAAAGCCAGAAAATACAATGTGGGTACTTACACATACGAAATTAACTTTGTCCTCTTTGATGCCAAAACACCTATAACAAACATGCACTTTCTCTACCTTTGAAATGTATTGTGTTTGCTACGGGTGTATTGGACCATTGCTTAAAGAGGACAAATGTGAGTTACGTGGATGCATATCATCAGTGTCTTCCCTGACTCTGAGAAGCTTTAGTTTTGCTGCGCTCTATTCTTGAAGAGCACGAGATACTGCCAGACTGCTTTAACATTGCCTCATTTTTTTAATTGAGTTTACTAGGGGTTTTTAATTGTTTTTTAAATAAAAACAAACATTCCGTGTAGGAGCTAGTGATAACTTAGGTGTTTATATTTATTGTGTATACCTTGCAGGTGAGATGTTACTGTGCCTGGTGAAGGAATATTGTCATCTCTAATTTTTTGTATTTGTTCTTATCCACCTAATTATAGTAGAATGTGGATTGCAGTTAGCACTGAAATGTTTGGAATACATAGTTGCAAACAGGGCTGATGACGGAAATCATGGATATGGTCAGAGTTCCCAAAATCCTAACAGTTTTAATATGTGGTGGATACAGTAGCTTCAAGCATGTAGAAAACTGGACTGACCTCTTTCATCCCTAGTGCCATTTCCAGTTCATCTTTCTCTTCCCACCCCATTAAACCATTATTGTTGTAGAAGCCATGAGCACATACAAAAGTTGCTTGTTGGGAACACTCTTCTGCTGGCAATGTATATGATATACAAACAGCTTACTAAAAGAGTTGCAAACTGTCATAGTCATGTAACCAAATCAGACCAGGTCTCACACTCCTATCCAGCTAGTCTCTCTATTCCTGCTTCTGGCAGTCCTCAGCAGCCTGTGGCCCACTCATTTGCTTTCCACACTGTATTATCTCCCTTCCTTTTTCCCTCTGGCTAGTTTCCCCCTTGCCACTTTCCACGTATCATCTACCTTTAAAACTTCATATTACCTGATTATTTTTTGCAGTATAAATTTGGGTTACCTTCAGAAATCATCCCCCAAATCATATAGGAAATTGAATCAGCTATTAGATAAAAGCGCCAAAAAGCCCCAAAACACATGGCTCTCATCTTGCTGGTATACAGGGACCCTGGGCCAGTCTGCCTCTGCAGTAACAAGTAGGAATAGTGTGATTGGGAACTGATAATCAGGTGTCCTGCCATATTTGTGCAGCATGGTAGGAGGTGCGGGTGTTGGGATTAGGTATCCAATTCCATGGTGCCATTAAATGAATGTGTGCCAGGAGCCTCAGATTCCATATTGTATGAGGAGACTCAGGAAAGAGCATTACAGACATTCCCAGGGAGACAAGGGCTTTTGGGCCTGGCCTGCACACACACGAGAAAATGTGGGGCTTACAGGTGCCTGTACTCCTAATTCTACCATTTACTCCATAAAACTCACCCTAGCGTCCCATGCCACCCTGCCACTTTCCCTAACGTAAACTTGGAACTCTTGCTCCCTTCTTTACTACCTATCCCCATAATGCTTATCCCTCAGGGAAGGATTTGTGTTTCTTATTTCTTCCATTTTTCTTATTAAAATTAGAGGTGCACAAATATATCGGTCCATATCGTATCGGTACTAATAAAATGAAAATTGGCGTTATTGATACTCGGCTTTTTTTGGCTGGTGTGGCCGATTAATATCACTGATAAATGCTGTGTGCATGTGTGCAGCCGCAGCATGCATGTGGCCAGGAATGCAGCCCGGCAGCTTGGAGAGTAGCCTCCTGCTGGTAAGTCTGTGTTGGGGAAGGAGATTGGGGGACAGATCGAGGCTGCCAGGGTGAGGGAGGGAGTGGGGCTGGGGTGGGTACTGCCCAGCCGGGCCAGGGCAGGGTGCGGGACTGAGCCACAGGTGGCTCGTGTGGGGGGCGGATGGGAGCAGCTCCCCACCACTGCACACACCCCTGGAGAGGCATGGGAGGCAAGTGCCCCCCACACTTGTGCACTGGGCAAGGGGAGGCTGCCTGCTGTGGGCTTGGGGCCAGGGGCTGTGCTAGCCTTTTCCTGGCAGGGGGGGCTAGGCTGGGGCTGTGCTCAGAGTGGGTGGGGGTGGGGCGGGCGGTGGTTCTGGGAGGGGGAGCTATGGCAAATTTTGAGGTGGTTGTAGCGTACCCCATAGCCACCCCCTCCCAGCGCTGCCACTGCTGCCCACACCAAGTGCAGCCCTGGCCCAGCCCCCCTGTCCAGGAAGAGGCTTGCGCAGCCCCTGGCCCTGAGCCTGTAGCGGGCAGTCCACCCTCACCCCATGTACAGATCTGGGGGGCACATGGCCTCATGCCTCTCTTAGGGGTGTGTGCAGTGGTGGGGAGCCAACCCCTCTGTGTCCCCCGGACAAGCCGCCTGTGGCTCTGTCCTGCACTCTGCCATGCCCTGGCTGGGCAGCGCCTGCCCCAGCCTTGCTCCCTCCCTCCCCATGGGGGCCTTGATCTGCCCCTGCCATGCCCATTCCCCCCAACAGATTTACTGGCCAGATGCTGCTGTCCAAGCTACAGGACTGCGTATTGGCAATTGGATCGGTATTGGTTGATATAGCTGGTTAATAGTCGGCCATCAGTATCGGACAAAAAAATCTTTATTGGTGCACCCCTAATTAAAATCAATCTGAGCATCTTCTATATTTTTTGTTTTACTCTGATCACATGTTCCCAAAATAAAAGCGCATTTGTTTAAGGAATGCTGACTCTACTCTGTATTCTTTAAGGCATGCTAAATTTGAAGGGAATTTGAACATGCAAAGTAATAATTGTCACAGATTTGTTTTATTTGTCTCATTAAATCATGGAAGTAAACAGTAAGGTGGCATAGCCTGAGGTGTGTGTGCATTTTGCTTGTTTTAAAATTAACTATATAAAAATCTTTTCACTTTTAGGAAGACCTTTTGCTAAAGGCTTACAAGGAGTGCCATAGAGCTGTGATGAGGTGCAGCACAAATAGTCATTCACGAGCGAAGACATTTTTTCACTTATGTGGCCACACGCTGGAATACAGACCTTACAGAGTGTCTGTAGATTCTGTTAGCATACACTTGCCACTGTCCAGGACCCTTGCTGGTGGGTGTTGTTATGCTTTACTTTTAAAAATTGTTCTCTGTAGTTAGGTTTCTTCTTCTATCTCTACTTCTTTATCCTCAAGTAGCATTTTCAAAATATTATGTATCTGTAGCCTAACTTTAAAAAAGCAGTCTAAAAAATTAAAAGTAGCCAATGTTTTGTGCTAACTTAAAGATTCTGTGTAGTTTAATTGGGAGTTATTGTGTTAAGCAGTCTAATAGCTTACCATCAGAATAAGTTTATTCAATAAATCCTGTAAATTATATGAATATATTAACTGTTTAATTGGGAAAAATCTATGACTACATTAAAAACAAAAATATTGGGCTTTACTGTAGCTTAAAATCTAAGAAGCTTATAGAACATTTGTAGAGGCTGTGCCCTGGTTTTCCCTGTCAGAATCCCAGATACAGGATAAATGCAAATTGCTTAGTTCCCGTGAGCAAGAGAAGAGGTTTGGTTTTTTTTTAATTGTTCAACAGCAGTTATTTTTGGCAGTGTACTATAGAATTATCTTTACAGGACTTCAGGGGGAGACTTCTCGTCTACAAGTTTTCTGTGAGAAATTGGAGGAATTCGTGTATCAAAAGAAATATTTATTTTACATGAACTCGCAAGCCACAAAGACATACAGTTAAAGATGTCGTCTGTCAGACAGCAGGAGCAGGAAATAAAACTTTCTTCCTCATCTTCCACAAACATTTTAAACTTTAATAGATGTACTTAGCAGCCTAGGCTGTAAGGAAGGGAGGAGGAACTGCAATGGGAATGCCCTGCCAGCATTTTCCTCTCTTATCAACTGAAAGAATGCTCACTCCAGCACCTCCATGGAGCCAGTTGCAGCAATATTTCATGGGAAAAGAGAGACCAATTCAAAATCTGCTAGTTCAAAATCAGCTAGTTCCAAATCATTTGGGCCTTTGTAAGTCAAAACCAACACTTTATTTTTGTTGGACTAACATCTTGCAGATGTTGGAGCACTGGGATGAGTCATGGTGAGGTACCCAACATAACAAACAAACATTCACATTCTGCAGTAATTTCAGTTTGCAAATAGATTTTAAATATAGACAATATTGTACTTTCCTATCAAAATTGTAGATCTTGATAGGGATGTTCCTGCTGGGACTTAAAAAACACAGAAACTCCTGGTAGAAGGTCTGGCTCCTCTGCTTAGGGCCAGGCCAGTCACCACATTTGGGATCAGGGAAGAATTTTAATCTTATTGGTGCGGACTGTGTTTGTGGTTGGGGGAAGAGAGTTGCCTTCCTTTGCAGCATGGAGCATTGTCCTCTTCCTTGGGTCTCTTGAGCATATTTTAATAGCTACCTTGCAGTGGTAGGCTATTAACAGTGCCCTCGTCCCCTTGCTTTACCTATGGCAAGTTAAGGTGTTTTTATTTTTGGGGGGATTGTGCCTGGTAGTTGTCCAATATGGTTGTTTGCAGAGTTTTTAAGTGAATTAAATAATTGCTTGTAAAGGATAATTTAAATACATGATCCTGCTTTGAACAGGGGGTTGGACTAGATGACCTTCTGAAGTCCTTTCCACCTCTACTTTTCCATGATTCTGTAAAAATTGGAGGAGAGGCCAGGCCCTGATGATGATCCCAGATTGGGGGAGGAATCAGCCTCCAGGACCATGTGATCATATAAATGCTGATAGAAATCTAAGAGAATCATATTTTCAATTTACCATTATTGCCATAGACTCCCTCAACTGAGTCCAGATTAATCTCCCCACTACGTGGGAATTTGCTGCCAGACACTAAAAACGTTTAATTCCCCTTCTTTGTTAGATAAACTAAAATTGTAAATCTAGGAGTTTTAGTAAAACAGAACTCTGAGTGTTAAGAGCACTTTATTAACTCCTGAGGATAGACCCTCCCAACAGGTTGCTTAGCCCTGATACCCCTGACCTCTGGACAAAGAAGGCAGTAATAATTCCATTGCATAGTTATCTAATTTTGTAATTATAGTCCAGATCAAACAGGATCCATGTACACTTAGGTTCTATAAAATCTGGATGAGTTTGGATTTTACAGCCACCTACGATAAATTACTTTGCAATCATGGTACCAATAAAATCTTGGGCTAACTTTGAAGAAATGTCATCTACATGAATTTTATCATTCCCCAGGCTGATTTTAGCTCCCCCTCAGTGAAGAGGAACTTCATTAACTCCTGCAGGAATTTTGTAGTGCAGAATGACAATCAACATACCAGTCATGGGTACCATTTAATCTTATAATAAGACCTCAAAGCCAAATATACCCACCTCCCCAGACCAGGGTACTGTCTACTTTTAGGTTGCATGCAAACAGCAGAACTGCATGGCCTTCTTAAGTACTTGTCATGCTTTAGGTCCATGTTGCACAGAATACCTACCTGAGGACACAACATGACACAGTTTTGGTCTTTGTAGTCTTTAGTGAGGAGGTTCTATGGATAGAAATCGATGTCACCAAATGAAGCTGATCAGCTGTGCCAGGATATGTCCCAGCAGAGCTGGTCTGTTTCATTGGGTGAAACACACATCACACATTGATGCTGCAGGAATATGGGCAACATATTCTCCTGGGGCTGAGGGGCCTGGTCTTGCATACCCCAGGAATTTGTGCACAGGTTCAGGCCCCTCAAGACTTGGGAAGTGCCTGCCTAGCTTTCCCTGCTTACCAAGATGCATCACTGGGGTGTGTCTGGGTAAGTGGAGAAAGTCAGAGATTCCCTGCTTATGGAGACATGTCCCCAGGATCTCCAGGGTATGTCTGTAAGGGAGGGAAGTTGGGGTTTTCCCACTTACAGAGACTCCTTCCCAGGATCTGTGCTTTCCTGACTTAGACACGTGCCCCTGGGATCTCTGGGATGTGACTGGGTAAATGGGGAAACCCTGACTTTCCCTACTTACCCAGAAGCACCCCAGAAATCCTGGGGATGTGTCTTTGTAAATGGACAGGCAACTAGGCAACCTCTACCAGGGCTTAATGGACCTGATCCTATACGGAAATTCCTGTGCAGGATCGGACCCCTCCTGAGTCCCTGCCTGGGGCAGCTGGAGATCGTGGGCAGCTCCAGGATGCCCTTACTCTTCCACCATAGAGCAAATAAACATCTGCCACAATAAAGCAACACAAATTATTACTACTTTTTGTTGTGGCCACACATTTTGGCATTTGTGGCATGGGAAAAAGTGTCAACATCTACGCTGAATTTTTTTTGTGGCAGCACAAAGGTGAGGATAGATGACATCCATTGCTACACTATGTGACTGCTGAGTTGCTGCTAAAACAAGAAGTAAATAAATTGCAAATGCTGTTTAGCAAACTCTTCTTAAAATTTATCGGACTTTCATAAATTCATAGATTGTAAGGCTAGAAGGAAACATTTTGATAGTCTAGGCTGACCATCTATGTAACGCAGGCCTTAGAAAATGAATCTTGATTTTAAAAAAGGCTGGGTTTTTTTCCAAGGCAAGGATTTTTATTTATTTATTTATTTTTTTGGTGATACCTTTTATTGGGCCAACAGTACACTTGTTTTAACCCTCACCTGGCTGAAAAGCATATCTGTGTGGCTTTGCTTTGTATTTATTTCCCCATCTTTGTTCTTGTAGGTCTACATGTAAGGTTAAGCAAGACTGGGGCCATCTCAAGACTAAATGAATTTGTCTCTCCTGTAAGTGTTTGCTTCTAATGGTAATTGAGCTTGTCTGTTATTACTGAATTGCATTCCTGTAAGCAACTTTCCATTGAAGAGAGAGAGGATAGGTTGATCAGTGTTTCCAGTATCTTGGTATAAAAAAACCCAAAAAACTGATCCCAAAAGGTAGTTTTCATTTCATAATTAAAATGGCTGGTTTGTTTTCTTTTTAGATACAAGAGAGGCCCTACATGAAATGAGTATTATAGGATCAGAAGGACATATGACCCTAATATTATAGTATTTAGTAGTGATTCTAAAATATTGAGGGGGTACTAAAACCTTGGATACATTTATTCCTAAGAATGTCATCTGTCCTGGTAACTGTTCAGTCCATTCGTAATCAAAATTCCCTTGGGGACATCTAACCTCCGGTTTCTTTAATAGCATTGTAATGTGCTGCAGCTTTGATTTGCAATCCAAACTTTTTTGTTACCTCTTTTATATATCTTAAAACAGCACAGCTTTTCTTTCAGTATTCTTATATTTTTCCTATCAAAATTGCACGCCCAGTTTTTTGCCTAATAATGTTCTCCTGCTGTGCCAGAACTGTAATCTCTATTAACACAACCCTGTAAGTCTTTATAGGTGTATAAACTTGTTAAGGGCTTCCTAGTGCATATATTGTCTTGCAGTTATTGATCTTGTTTTGTTCTTAGAATATAAATCTTAATCTTTAGTCTATTAACAGATTTATTTCATTTAATTTTTAGAAAGAATTCCAAGTGGAGCTGCTGATAGACTATCCTTTGCGCTGTCTTTCCTTGGTTGCTCAGGTTGCAGCAGACATGTGGAGGAGGAACGGGCTTTCCCTGATAAGTCAGGTACTCCCTGTCACAAGCATTAGAAGCTGAGTCCCACTAGTTTGTCACTTTTTTTCATTAGTGCTATGACTGACTGACTCATGAGCTAAGCTGATAGAACAGTACACTGAATTCTACTCCCAGCTCTGCCACTGGCCCACTTGCTGTCATTCAGCAAGCCTTTTCACCTTTATGGTTGTAAAGTGGTGTCTGTGACATCCCTTGTAAAATGTTCCCAGATTTACTGATGAAAAAGGATGCTATATAAGAACTATGGCACTAGGTATGCATTAACTATCAGAGACGCTTCTTAATCAACTATCAGAGACTCTCCTTAATGTATGGTTATCATTGCACAAAAAAATGTGAAATGAAGCTGTTTGAATCCCAAACCAAGGATTCATACTGGTATGTCTCTTATTTAGGAAAAGCAAACTCTTTTTTTTGTATGTGCTATGGAAATACTTAAAGTAAAACTCTGTCCTGAGAAGTATGTATGTATTCTCATTTAGCTTCAGTGTTTGCTTGCATGTGAAGGCAGACAGTAGCTCTGTTCACTTTTCAGAACACCCTAGGATGAAATTGAACTGTGTACTTTTATTTCCATTTTACCTCTGAAATTGAAGAGATTGTGGTTAAGTGACTTATCTATTTCTAGAGGTGGGACCAGAATTTGGAGATCTTGGTTGCTAGTCCTGTAGTCAGAATCCACTTGATCGTGTTATTCTCCTAGTGTCTGAACTGAGATAGTATAATGTATGGCAAGGCTCTCTTATGCTGTAAAGGCATGAAATAAACATCTTTGTAAAAATAGAACATTCTATCACAAAGAAATCTTGATTCATATAGCCCCCAAACAACTTAAGTGTTCTGAGATTTTTCACTTAAAATTTTAAGATTTTCACTTATCTAGCTCAGAATATTCTGTAGCTTTTGAGGGCTTTGGTGATTGGTTAATTAAACTAGAGAATCAAGAACCTCCCTCCAGCTCTAAAGTCGTCCTTATAATGCAACAGTCTCATGAACTGTCGAAACACAGATAACTTTGTGTCAAGAAATAAGATTGAACACATTAATCTACAGCTAAAGGCAAACTGAGCCTGTCTCCAAAGTGAAGTAACTTTAGTTAAATGCTAAAGCCTCTTGGAAAAGTTTGTTTGCTCCAAAGTAGGAATGTCATCAAAAGTGGTTTTCTCATATACTAACTCAAATGCAGGTGCCAAATCTCTTGCCTATCTCAGGAATGTGTGCACCATTTTAGATTAATAGGAACAAAACATTTAAAAGTCTTTATGTAAAAAGTAGCTTGCTCAGGGAATTTCTTGACTAAATACTGAGCTTTTCTAGTGAAATCCTCTGTGTATTTTTCATGTCCCTTGTTTCTACCTAGGTGTTCTATTACCAGGATGTTAAATGTAGAGAAGAGATGTATGATAAAGACATCATTATGCTGCAGGTAGAGATCTTTTACATTACTGCTGACATTAAGTAACACAAAGCACTTTCTAAGTTGTCTCATGAAAATTTGTTAGAGCTTTGTCTTGATTTTCTGCCAATGGTGTAACATATTAACACAGACTTTTAAAGTGTCCCTATATCTAGATAGTATCAGTTGCAGAGAGAGTCCAGTTATTCTTCTAAGCTGCCATGTTATAGGGTTTTTTCTTTCCGTTTTTCTTTTATCCCTCTCCCCCTTTGCCCCAAACATAGAATCTCTCTATAACAGTTGAAATTCATACGCTTATCGGTGATTTTAAAGAGGATCTTTCACTCACTTCTCTTCTGTTTTTGGATGTGGCTTTAAGGCCTATTAATTCTTGAAAGGGAGCTGACATTTCTAGAAATACTAAGAAGTGCACATACTTTTTCTTTCTTCTTTCTTATATAATTTGTGTATGGATCATTTTTTCCAATTGAAACCATTTATAACATTAAATTCTGTATCCTGCATGTTTTAAAACATTCACCTTCTGAATTTATTAGCTGTGTCATATTTAAAAGCAGTCTTGGAGGAGAGAGTAGCTTTCATGCCTTAGAGAGGAATTTAGATGCTGACTCTGATATTCCTGATATCTGTCAGATTGGTGCATCTCTTATGGATCCAAATAATTTCCTTTTGATGATGCTTCAGAGATATGAACTTGCTGACGCCTTCAGGAAGATCATGCCCACTAAAGACCAGGTGAGTATTGTGCGGGCTGGGCACGAGCCGGGCCCTTTTTTGTGCTGCACGTGGGCTGTGGCCAGCAACCCGGGCACGTGGGGTCGGAGAGGGCGCGTGTCAAGCTAGAATTAGGCACAGACTCGTAGCGGTAGATTTAAAGATTGTTTACTTACACCGGAGATGGTTGCGGTGCAGGCTGGGAAACTTGCTTGAGGTGCGGTTACAGACAAAAACAACACGAACGATCACGTGGAGTTTGCTAGGCTCCACGGAAACAGAGCTCCGGGTGCCCTGGACAAGTGCGCCACCGAAATAGAAACTTCGTAGATATGTCTTATAAAATTATCGCTCGAAGACAGGAAGAGGTGGGTGATGGATCAGGTCACCAAACTCCTCTGAATCTCACACAGGGTCTCTATTACCCTGCCGTGTACCCAGAGTCCCCACGAGATGGATGTGGAGTCCTCTTCGGCTTGGGCGGAAACCGCTCGAGCCTCTTATATGGCTAACAGGCCAATTGTTAGCCGCCACGTGGGAATAATTTAGAACTAGGCAATAACGGGGAACCAATTTGCATGCGGGTGGCGGGAACTCCTTTGCACTGTGCATTTCCCTTGCAACTTGAGCAATGCACTCTGCAAAGGAAGCCACAAATTGGCGGGAAACTCTTCCTTGCACCGGGGTTCTCCTCTGCAGCAGAAAACTCTACCGTGCAACGAAGCTGTAATTTGGCGGGGATAATTCTAGTGCCAAAGCACACACAAAATCATACCTTTGGGTTATGACAAGTATCAGGGACCTTTTTATAAATTCTTCTTGGAAACATAAATGAGGAAACTGTAGTTACTGCGTTTTTTTTCACTGTAGTTTTAAGGCCATGCTAAAATAGTAATGTGCAGATCAACAAAAGATTCAGTACTTAGTGATTTATATCTGTACTCATACCTCTTCAAAAAGAACATATTTTGCTGTTTTCTGTGCCTTACTGTTCAAATTGTTTATTAGTTACCATGTGATTCATAGAATGATAACATTCAAGCGACATAAGATCTAACAAGGAACAGTGATCTGTTTGATTTAGTTCAGTCCTTCTTCAAGGTGACTTTGGTTCACATCCTTCTTTATTTTCAGTATTTACCAAATAGGATTCTTATTTGTATTAGAGCTGGCATGGCTGCCATTACTATTGTTTTATAAATTGTCTTCTGAAAACCAGGAATATTTTGTTTTCCTCAACATTGTTTTAACCCTTAAGGTGTATGCTTATATTTTTAGTTGAATGGGGTTTTCCTGGATTCTTCTGACATTCCTTGTGGTTGCAATGGATATTTATTTACCTCAGGATACCATTTTCCTAGTTATAAGCCTTCTTCCCATATTAATTTTGCGGTATATTGACAGAAATTTCTCTGCGGTAATAGTACAGGCAGTCTCTCCTGTTCTGTAATGCTTCAAATTGGAGAGCAGTTTTCTATTTAACCAGAGTATCATAAGGTAGCATGAGGCCTAGGTTTCCCATTTAACTGCATTGTTCTTGGGATTTGCAATCTTTTAAAAAATTATTATTGTTATGTTTACTGTATCATTTAATTCCCACAGGATTTGATTAAGCAGTGTAATACATTAATAGAGGAGATGCTGCAGGTTCTCATCTATGTTGTAGGTAAGAAATTTGGTTTATAGTAAAAACAAGATCTGATTTTACATTTTGGCAATATCTTATATTTTGGTTTTGTTTAATTTAGCAGATTTCTAGAATTCACTGACAGTGTTGTTATGTGAAAGCAGTTAAGAGGATTGGCCAGACAAACTTTCTAATATTTGATCATTTAAAAACAACAAAAAAAGTTTCCTCCCATCTTCCCTTATATATTTCTGTGCTATATCTTTGAAGGATGCAGTTTGGTCTCATAAAATATCCAGGCAGTAGTATGGTCAGGACGAGTGATTCAGAGTTGTATTCTGATCTTTGTTTTCCTTTTTCTTCCTTTTAATCTGTCCTGGCAGGGGAAAGGTATGTACCTGGAGTAAGTGATGTGTCAAAAGAAGATGTTGTTATGAGAGAAATCATTCATCTGCTCTGTATTGAACCAATGGCTCACAGTGCTATTGCTAAATCTTTGCCTGAGAATGTAAGTTCTGTTTTGCTTCATTCATTTTTCTTTCCATTCAACCTCTAGTCACTTTAGGTGAAAATGTTTTACTTTTGGTGGAAACTACTAATATTGGCTTTGAAGTTATTGAAATGAAGTACTTCAGTTATCTGCATGTCCTTCAAACTGGCACCTTGCAACCAAGCTGTTGTACGCTAGCATATGCAAGACCAGTTATTCTAATAGCACTAGTAGTATTATTCTTGAAGTTTCTCTGATTTAAAAAGTATTGTATAAAGATGGAATTTCCTTAAATAGGAAGCAGAATATTTACATGTACTTACAGTGATAGGAGCTATTTTCAGTGGGAGATGCTTTATATTTATTCTTTTGCAGCGTGCACAAAACCAGTGCAGTGAAAAGAGGGAGAGGAAGATTTTTATTTTATTTTGTGCCTCATCAGTAGAATTGCTTTTGAGTGTCTTATCAATTATACTTAGCAAATCCATTGAAAGAAATTGAACAGGTATAACTGAGAGAAAAGCAATTTGCAGGAAGTTTGTCAATGCAGCCTAGTTTCCTCTCTACCAACATCATATACTTTGTCATCTGTTTACAGAGCACCTCTACTGGCTATGTTGGCCAGACAGGGCACACCCTGTATAAAAGAAAGGATGAATATTGACATGTTATCAGTTCCAGAAATGTACAAAAGCCCGTGCGAGAACACTTTAACCTCCCTGAGCATTCCATCACAGACCTCAGAGTAGGTCTCTTTAAACAAACAAACAAAAAAAAAAACCTTAAAAACCCCCCCAAACCTTGAATGCAAAAGTATGGGAAAAGAAATTCATCTATGGACTAGATTGTGTTAACAGCAATATTAACAGGGACTATGGATTCTTATCCCATTGCCTGGACTATTTTTAACTCCAGTGTCTCTCCAGGCTTTACTGCCGTATTCATCTGATTTGCTCTAATCAAGCTACTTTTTACCTTTCTTAGCAGTGTCCCCTCCTCCTGTCACTTTCTCTGCTGTAGGCAACTTTTCTTTCTCCCAGTCCATTCATAGCATCTAACAAAGTAGGTTGTTGTCTGTGAAAACTCATGTTATACCTGGCAGTAGTTTAGTGAATAAAGGCGTCTTTATAACCTATCTTGGGAAATGTTTTAAATTTTTGATACAAAGGACGATACAGTTTTCTTTTTCCTTTCCTTTACCAATCAGGTAATTTGAACATTTGCATTTTGGATGAACATGGGCAAAGTACATTAATTGGCAGATTAAATAGGGAATTTATCTTAATCACTTTTTGTGGCTTATCGTGAAAACTGTTGTGGATTTTTATTACTGTTTTCCCAAATCCAAGATGACTTTGGACTTAAGACAGCCTCCCCAATAATTTGATTCTATGCATGGAAAATGTAGACATTTGTTATAATTTTCCTTTTATAAAATCTAGCTATTGGAAGGTCATCTTAAATTAATCATCCCTACAACCGCTGCAGCTGGGAAAACAGTAGCAGGGGGGCAGGTAGTGGGGGAGTCAAGTGGCCTGCCCTCTGTCCCTTGCCCCCTGCTGCCTGTGCGCCCCCACTGCTTGCTTCTCTCTGTGTACTCTGGCACTTGCCTCCCCCTCCCCCTGCCATCACGGATTTGAGTAAATATGGTACATTACTATATAGATGTAAAAATGAATATCAGTTTGAGTGGTTTTTATTACAGGAAGTATAGGCTTATAGGAAATCTGCTATTAAAATGTGGCATATTTGTACTTAATGAACTCCCATTTTAGCCCTTATTTTAAAATATAGCAATACTTAAATATATTTGTATGAATAAAAATATATTCCATGTTAAATATTTTAACAGGAAAACAATGAAACTGGCTTGGAGAACGTAATTGACAAAGTCGCCGTTTTTAAGTAAGCTCTGAATATTACTTTATGAATAACAATAGTGAAAAGTCATGCGACAGTCTTTAGCCTGTCTATCATCCTACACAAACTCTTGTTAAATACTTATTTTGTTGGCTTGAAACACGTTTGTCTTCAATTGTTCATAGAAAAGTAAAGCAGATGATGAAAAGTATTGACTTTTTTTTTTCCTTCAAATTCATTTTGAAGACTCTTAGGACTCCAGGAGTCTCAATTGCTAATGGGGAACATTTTAAAAGATTTATTTAATTTTTAGCAGTAATTAAGTACCAGATCTCCTCTGATGTTTCTTTTGGACCAGTGTTGCTCGAGCTTTTGGCCCCGTGGGCGAGTTGAGTGGTGCAGAGCCAGACCACAGGCTGGATTAATCCCCATGTGCTGGGATTGGGCCCTGGGGCCTGGTACCATCCTGCCCATGTTCCAGGATTGGGCCCTGAAAGCCTGATGCCCACCCCCTGTCAGCCCTCCACACTAGAGTTGGGCCCTGGGGCCCCATGCTGCCCCCATGTGCTGGGATTCTGTCCTGGGGCCTGGTGCTGCCCCTGCCCAGCTCTGTGTACTGGGATCTGGCACCCAATCCAGGAGGCGCTACCACTCCCCCACCACCAAGTTTCTGGACCCTTGAGAAGCCTCGTGGGCCAGATGACATGACTTCACATGCCAGGAGTTGAGCATCCCTGGTTTAGACAGTTTTTTTTCTAACTAACTTGCTTCATTATCAGAAATAAGTTGGCTTTAAATGTAACACTTAACCCAGTTCCCATACCTCCCCCCCAACTTCAGCTTCCCTGAAATCTTAGTTTGCCTGCTGCTTAAAAATCACGTTATAAATGGATGTTTGAACCAGTTTTGGTTCATTGTAATTTTGTCAAAAAATAACACCTTGTAACTTCAACTGCTTGAATTTCCATTAATTCTAAGTTGCTGGTGACTTGTTCCATTTCCATGTAAGCAAAGGGATTCTTGGATATAGCTAGAAACTTTGTTTTGAGAGTAGAGTGGGATTCACCAGATGCTTTTCCAATGAGAGACATCTTCATGCATTATATTTATTAGTGCCTAAGTTGAAAAGGAGCTAGAGATAATACAGTGCAAGTCAAACACCTGAAATTCTAGTTTAAAGCCTTGACTTCTGAAAATTTAAAATCTGGTACAGCATTAAAATGAGATGTGTAGAGCTAGGTCTATGTTCTGCTTTACTATTAGCATTTCCTTAGGAAACAAATTGAATTACCTGTTTGTTTTAATCTAAATAAGCATTGATATGTTAATCTGTCCATGGAAAATGTTTTTTTTAGGAAACCAGGGGTGTCAGGCCATGGAGTTTATGAGCTGAAGGATGAATGTTTGAAGGAGTTCAATATGTTCTTTTATCATTACACCAAAACCCAACACAGCAAGGTAGGCAATGTGAAACTCACAGTGAGGGGATATTACTGTATCTTACTACATTTGTTTAGTCCAGTGCGGGGTGTGGCAGGGCACTGAGCCAAGCTGCCAGCAGGTGCCTGATGGCAGCAGCCATTTTAAAGCCCTGGCTGCCTTTATAACCAGATCAGTTCCCTGCTGGCAGAGGAGGCAGCAGCAAATTGCCTGGCTGCAAGGCTGCTGGTATCATCCTGGAGGTAAGGGAGGAGCTGTAGGGGATGGCTTGGAGGCTCCTGGTCCTGAGCATGACCTAAAACTTCTCCCTCCCTGCCGGAGGTGGGTGGCCTGGTGGGGCTCTCAGTGGTGCGGGAGCCCCCAGGAAATGCCAGGCCAGTGATCCCCCCTGTGAAAGGCGAGTAGGGGCACCTTAACTCCAGCCCTTACCTTCGGGTGGGTTAGAAATGACATCTGAGGCCAAGCACAATCACCGGCTGCTCAAGGGAGGGAGTGAGAGTCCCCTGTGAGACCCTGGAGCACCAGTCGTGGTGTGTGTATAGGGAATAAGATCCAAGGAAGAAGTATGGGTCAGGTAAGCTTCAGGAAGTGCCTGAGCCAGTTGCGGAGATACCCCATAGGGCCAGGCATGCTCCCTGGAGCACCTGAGCTGGGAATGGGGGAACCCCACTCCAGAAAGTGCAGGCAGGAAGCGAAGACCCCGCTGAGGGTCTCGACTGGTCAGTGCTGGGGCCAGGACCTAAGGGTCAAAAGGGCCAAGGGCCCACCGTGAGGGACGCCCACGATGAGCGAAGGAGCTCGGGGTCCCAACTGGGCCTGAAACGGGGCCAGGGCTTACGGAAGCTGAAGGTCCCCATGGTTGGGGGCCACAGCTAATGGGCAAAGGTGAGGGTCCAACTAACTGCCTGAAATACCATCTGCGAGGCTTGGGCTGCAGTGTAGGGGAGGTACAGAGCCGCGGACACCCCTCTTAACATCGGGGTGCAACAATAGGCAGCCTCCCACCTTAATTAGCAACTTATTAATTACCAACAAGGTGTGGCAGGAGGGACAGGCAGGCGGCGTGCCCAGAGGCAGGTGGGGAGCTTGTTGTGGCTGGTGGAGATGCCCACATCACCACACCCTGTTGCATTCACAACATAATTCTCCAGTGCTACTGGTATGGTAACTTAGGTCGCTTTTCTTACAGGCTGAACATACACAGAAGAAGAGAAGAAAACAAGAAAACAGAGATGAAGGTAAAAGTTTGGATAGATGACTAAAGGAGTATAGTGATTTACTTTACTATAGCTGTAATGCTGACCACAGAGAAGCTTTGGGAGAGGACTTAATTGTCCTGAGTTCAGTGTCACAAGTTTGAATGTGATCCAGATATGTATTGCCATAATTAGTTACCACCTGGTATATTTTTGGTGATTATTTTATTTGTTTACAAAATAAGCAGTTTAGAGGGTTTTCAGTTTAATTTCTTAGGCAAAGCATAAAACTTGATACGAAAATTACAGGGCCTTCCTAATAGTCTCAGCAGATGAAAGGGACAAAAGTAACTTTTCTTCCTAGTAGTTGGTTCCTTTGGAATAAAACTAAGACTTTGTTGCCATGTACAGATGGTTGTACTGCCTGCTGCCACCATTTGTAGATATGCTGTGGAGAACTGCAGCTTAAAGCGCCATAAAATCTGCTTTCTAAAAAGATTTGGGTCTGGCCATCATCATCCATAACATCAGGCTTAGACTACTGTAGAGCACTTTACCTGGTGCTGCCCTTGACATCTGTCTGGAAACTGCAGCTGTTGCAGAGTGCAGTGCTGTGCCTTCTGATGGGGATGCATTACCAGGGGCACATAACTCCAGTACTTTGTAATTGCAGTAGCTTCCAGTAGTTTTCTGGAAACAATTCAAAGTGCTGTTACTGACCTGTAAGTCCCTAAATGATCTGGGCTCTACAGCCTAAGGGGCTGCCTTCTGTCTTATGCCCCATTGTGATCTCTGAGGTCAGTCAAAAGAAACCTCCTACTGCAAGTACCATAAATGTGCCAGACTCGCCTGTTGAAAACACGGGAGGTCGTTATTGGTTGTCACTCCTCAGCTCCCCCTAAGGCCTGTCAGAACCTGAGCCTGGACATCTTCTGGAAGTTCTGTAAGACCTTCCCTATTTGGGCAGACATTTAGCAAGCAAAGCTAAGCTGAGATTTTTTTTGGAGCAGGGGAGAGGGAAGGAAGTTATTTAACATTTTATTTTAATAGTCTCTGTTCTTTTGTAAGTGGTTTTGTTCCGTTACTGCACGCTTCCTTGAGCCTGCATTAGGACTGGTGGAATTTATGTCTAATAAACAGAGATCCTGGCTTTCTGTCTAAAAAGGGCAAATTCTCTGATTAAAAAACCTAAAATTCACATTTTTCCATTGTTAAATGAAATGTCACTATATCTATTTCTATATCTATCTCTATAATCAGTTGAACACAATGTTTTATTGATATATTTACAATTTAGAAACCTACCAGCACCTCAGTCACCATAATACAATTATAAATACCTATAAATTTAGGAATTTGATTTTGGGTTTTTTATCATGGAAAATCAGAGTGGAAGTCCACCTGTGGTTGTCCTCCCCCACTGCTTTGTGGTGATGAGCAGCCCTGATATGCTGGTGCCCTGCCCATGCCATTACCTTTCACTCGCCACCCACAGCCTCCTGGCCCTGCCAGTGCCCCTCACTCCCCACCCACAGCCTCCCATCCCCCAGTCCTACTGGTTCCCCTCACTCTCAACCTGCAGCCCTCCATCCCCTCCTGGTTCCCCTCACTCCAACCCACAGCCCCTTGGCCCTGCCAGTGCCTCTCACTCACAACCCATGGCCTCCTGACCCCTCCCCAGCCCTGCTGCAGGACACCCCCAGTTGTCAGGATTATGGGGCCAGGGACCCGGGTCTGCAGCCCCCTAGTGGACCTGGTAGCAGACCTTGGCAGCAGCACCCCCCCCCCGGGAGGGAGACAGATGTGGCCTGGTGGCTGCAGGCTCAGGGCTTCCCACCTTGTTGCCCTTCCCCTGGGGGTCTCCACTGCCCAGCAGGCAAGACGCTGGGGCGAAGAGGTATCATGCTGCTACCAGGAGCCCCAAGCGGCCATGGCAAGGCACTCCCTGGTGGCCCGGCAGCAGTGGGAGGCACAACTTTGTGCCACCACCCTTGTTGCTGGGCAGGCAGGGGGTAACATGCTGTGGCGACGTGAGGCTCCCAGCGGCAGAACTAAGCCTCTCTGCCCTACCGTGCTGGGATCCGCCTGCTGGGCTGTGGAGACCCCCAGGGGCAGGGCGGCAGGGTGGGGAGCCCTGAGCCTGCAGCTGCCAGCCTGCATCTGCCCCTGCCCCACACACTAATTTGTGGGGGGCATGTGCCCCATGCTCCCCCCCCAGAGTACATGCAGTGGTGGGGAGCCAGCCCCCCTGTCCTGTTCCCCAGCTGGGTCCTGCAGCTGTGCATTCCCACCCAGATCCCAGGCCCCATGCACTGCCCCAGCTGGACAGCACCCCCAGCCCTGTCCAATTCTCTCCCTCACTGTGGGGGCCTCAGTTCCACCCCCTTTTCCCCCACCAACAGACTTACCTGCTGGGAGCTGCAAGAACTGCTCTCCATGCTGCCTGGCTGACACATGCATGTGTTTGCGCACACATGCACGTGATGCTCCCTTCCTGATCACCCTCCTCCTGATCTCTGCCCCCCCGGCCCTTGCAAGCTGGAACTCTACCAGCTTATGAGAGGAAACCTGCCATTTCCTGTGTTTTTCTGCTTTAGAGGAGAAAATCTGTATTTTTCCCCTTAAAATGACAATCAGTGTTTTTCCATGGGGAGCAGAAAACTTGGATCCCTGGTAATAAATAAATAAAGTCACAGACTCTGTATAGCAAGAACTTAGAAAACTTTCAAACTATCTTCTCTTTGCTTACTTAACCTCCTTTTTGCCTCAGTCATTGCTATTCATGTTACAAACATTAATTGAAGAGTATTGGAGTGCACTTGATAATTTCTAATTAATTTATGACTGAGATCTTCACATTCCTCCTTGCCTCTGTGCATTCAGGTGGATATATTATTCTTTAATCCAGAGATGTGAAACTCACCCTGGGCCCAAACCAGGACCCAGATCTAGGCCACAGGGCTCCATGCAGGCTAGATCTGCAGGGCCAGTGGCAGCTACAGTGGGTCCATCAGCGATGGTGGATCAAGTAACCACCAGACAAGTGAAGGCTGTGTAACCCACTTGCCACTGATGGCTATGTCCTGGGGGCCCCAAATTCAGCAGCAGACCATACATTTGTCACACCCCCCAACTTCCAGTAGCCTTGTGGGCCAGATAGAACAGCACCATGGGCTGGATCCAGCCTGCAGGCCATATATTTGACACCTCTGTTTTAAACTGTACTTTACTGTTGTGTGCTCTTCAACAGCACTGCATTTTTCTATTCTGTATCAGATGCAGAGGAAATTATTTCCAAGTCATGCTTGTGATGTGTTTTAGGATCCCTTCTACTGAGAAGTACTGACTTGGAGGGGGGAAGAATTACAGTGGGCTCATCTACATGCGATACTGTGTTGCCATAGCTCATTCCTACCGCGATGTAGTGTTGGTGGACCCAAACCCTGACGCCAACGTTATTGTGCAGTAGCATGGGAAAAAACCCATGCGCATCAGGATTGCGCAGTTATTACTGCACAGTCCAGTACACTAGGGCTGTGCGAAGCTTTGGTCACTGATTCAATTCGGTCTGATTCAGTGGCCAAATCTCTGAATCCAAATTGAATCAGTAGATCCTTTAACCCCTCCAAATTGGGGAGATTCAGAAAGATTTGATGATTCAGACAGACAGAGTTTTAAATGTTTTTTCTACATACCTCAAGGTACCAGGCAGCTCATGAGTGCTGGGATGCTGGGCGGATGGAGTGTCCCACAGGAGTACAGAGGGCTCCCCAGCACACTTGGTAGCAGACCCAGAAGTGGACCAGAAGCACTTCCAGTCCACTTCTGGGTCTGCCGGAGAGTGTGTTGACCCCCTCCTGCTTGGCAACTGGTGCTTCCTGGGGGCGGGGGGAGCACCTGGGGTTCCCCTATAGCTGATCCTGAGCTGAAGGGTACTGGGGGGTCCCCCAGTGCAGTTGGCAGCAGACCCTGATGTGGACCAGAAGTACTTCTGGTCCCCTTCCTTGTTTGCCGCCGAGCATGCAAGGGGAGCCCCCCGCGCTCCTGTGCTACCCCAGCATTGCAGTGTTCACAAGTCATGCCTGGTACCTTGAGGTATGTAGAAGACAAAACATTTAAAGATGTGTCTATGGCCGAATTGCTGATTCTCCGAATCAGTATCAAATCTTCAGATTTGGATTCAACTGAATCGAATCGGGATAGTGATCTGAATCAACTAATCGAATCGCTGTCCCTGATTCGGGCTGAATCCAAATTGAATATGGCCTGTTTCACACACCCCTACAGTGCATGTGTAGACCTACCCAGTGTGGTTTGAAGGGATACAGCAAACTTAGGAATTGCATTCTTTGTAAATTTTGTGCATCCTTCAGTTGCAAGTTAATTTCCAAAATCACTGTAATGGGAAAATCAGGCTGGTGGCAAGGGCAGGTCGGCATTACTTTTTTCCAGTTTTTGTTTTTATGCATTTGACAACATTTTACCTCTCAAAGGGCCCACACTTTAGCCAGGGTACAGAAAAACATAGTGTAAATCACTATGGGAGACATTTGATGATCAGAAAACTGTTAAGCATGTGGGGTAAGTAGTTAATCCATCTGGTCTTTCAACCAATGTGATAATCTGTGCTTTTGGTCCCCCTAAAGCAGGGTAGGTCCTGGCAGTTTCAAGGTTTGTCTTATAGGCAAAGTACCCTGAAGAGCAGTTTAACCTCCCTTAATATAGAGCAGTGAGCTGAGAAGTGGCTGAGCTAGTGCTCCAAGTTACAGTGTAACCAATACTAAAAAGGTGGGAAAAATTAGAGTAGGCTTTTCCCCCACAAATTTACTAGCATGCTTAAATAGACCCAAGTAGTGCCTTTAATTGAAATCAGTGGGATTTGGCAAATGGCTGGTGCTATTTCATGAACAAATGGCTGCCTGTCTTGAGGGTTTTCAGTGACTTACTTAAGTATTTATTTATTTGTTAGCTGTATATGTTGTCTGCTGTATGGTTTTATGGGACTTTTTATAGTCAACACGTTTAACTAATGGCCTTTCAGAAGCTGGATTTCATATATTTAGGACATTTAATTTAAAAAATATTGGTTCACCCACCATGTCTCAGAGGTAAGATGTATTTTTCTACTGGCATGTTCAAGGCTGCCCTTACACATGTCTGTGCTGCCTCTATGACAAGCCCAGGACCACCTCTGAGAAGCACGATTACTTGGTTCTGCCCAGTGCTGCCCAGAAGCATGCTTAAGACCGTGCCTGATAGCAGGTACCTGGGCTCAGGACCATGTGAAACCAACCGTCTTGCCTAATTTCTGGGTTTTGGTACATGCGGCTGCAGGGCTGGGTGTGATTGTAGGCATTGCTCCTGTGCTCATCAGAAAAGCAATGTAGACAGACTCCTAGTGCTTTTCATAAAATTTGAGATGAATTACTGTAAAAATACATGATTTAGAGGAGTACTCACAAATCCAGGTAAGTAGGGGAAACTTGATCACCAACTGAATTACACGGATTCTCTTTTTCAGTAAGTAGCACTGCATTTGTTTTCTCCACTTGCCTTCAGGCTTTTGGGAGAGATTAAAAAGTTACTAAGATATCTGTGTATGGGTCTTTTCTAGCATTACCACCTCCACCTCCTCCAGAATTCAGCCCTGCATTCAGTAATGTGGTAAAAATTATGAACTGTGATGTCATGATGCATATCCTCAGGACCATCCTTCAAAGAGTGGTAGAACTGGAGACCCACTTATGGACAGAAGCTATGATCCAAATGGTACGTCTAGTATTTTTATTTTCCCCATGAAATGCTTTCTGTATTAACTATTGGTATCAAAAACATTCTTGTGTGATTATGAATATTCAAACAGGAATTTTTACTTTTACAAATATGGTATCCTTTTTGCCCCAAAAGCCTGTTTTAAAAACTATGTTGACCAGTGATGTGTTTCTAATGATATGCCTCCTCTCTTATAAAATTTAAATGCAATTTACAGTAGCAATTAACAATATCAGAAACAAATCCTTAATTACATAGTTTAATTTGAATTGTCCCTCAGGATGGATGCAGACAGCTGTTACATTTGTAGCATTACAAAATGTGAATGTACAGGCATGCAAGGAATCTGTAGTTTACAAACGTGGCCCAAGCGCTACAGAAAAATATCTGTTTAGTGCCAGCAGTCTAGTTTTATTCTGGTTCAGTTGGAGCCCATCCTTTCTGTGCAGACTCCTCCTTCCCAAAAGGTTCCTCTTTCTTGAAAGACCTAAACTCCTTCTCCCTATACCATTTTCTCTTTGGCACATTGAGACTTGGAAGCTCCACCTGTCTTTCTGGCCCTGCACATGGAACTGGAATCATTTCAGAAAATGCTACTGTGGAGGCCCTTGACTTTAACCTCCTGCCTAAAATTTAGTTTCCAGGACCTTTCTACACTTCCCTGTGTCATTGGTACCTGCATGGACTAGCTCTTCCCTAGCACCCGATAGCAGTCTATTAACACCCCTCTTAAAGTCCACTGCTTTTGCACCTGGCTGGCCAAGTCACTATGTGGTCCTTCTAGACATCACAAACCCAGCTATCTACTATCAGCACCTGCTTTTTTCTGTCTTCTAGCACAGTGGTTCTCAACCTTTTGTACTTTACATCCCACCAACCATTTTGTGAAAAAGCCATGTCCCACCATGATAAAAACAAAACCCCACTTTTGCACTGTTCAAGATATCTGTTGATTTATCTATCTGAAGTGCAAACAGCTTTGATTTTTTCAATCGGGCAATGAGTTGAAGTCCCACCTGTACAACCTTCGTCTCTCTGGTTGAGAAACACTGCTCTAGTGCAGTCTTTCTCAACTTTTTCCTTACCGGGACCTATTTGCAAAGATCCATGGCCTGTCCTAACTCACACCCCTGTGGCCCTGCCAGTATCTGACCCCCAGTCCCCTGCCCCCTGGGCCATGTTAGTGTCCCTCCTACCCTGCAGCCCCCTGGCTGCCCTCCCCCTAGCACTGCTAGAGGGCCCCCTACCTGCCCCTGTTCTGCTCAGGCCGGAATGCAGTGGTTGTGGTGACTCCGGCTCATGTGGGTGGCAGTGGAGTGTCTGGCCACTGCACAGACCAGAGGGAAGAGAGGCCTGTGACTCCTCCTCCTCCTCCTCCTCCTCCCCCCTGGCTGGCCATGGTCTGGGCATGCTGTGCCATACAGCCTGGTCATGGCGCCCCCCCCGCCCCAAGCAGCGTCTTCCAGCCCCAGTGCCACCAGTTTGGCTATGCAGCTCTCCCCTGCTCCCCCACTGAAAGGGGCAGGTGCCTTCCTGTCACCCCTCTGCCCTGCTGCAGCTTGTGACCCTTTGAAATAGTCTTACCACCCACGGGTTGAGAAACGCTGCTCTAGGGTTCCCACCATTAGAGGGATGCATAATTTACTTTATTACTTTATCTGATAGTTGCTAGTTGATATGGGTAGACCCATATCAGCAACTCATACATGGCTGATGCGAAATACATGAGAATTGGTTAAATTTAAATAATTTATCAACAATATATCTCGTTAGAGATACTTGCACAGTTACCATGTTTTTTAGGTGTGTTTTTTGCACTTTTTGATGCTAACTGTTTTATCAGAATATTTTGTGATGTACTCCTTTGTATCTGGTAGTTTTATCAATATGTTCCAATTTTGCAGCAGCCCAGTAGCAATTGAGATTTCATTTTCATCTTTTCCAGGTACTTCATCTCCTTTCTCTGGGCTTGCTGGAAGAGAAACAGCAGCTAGGGAAGGCTCCAGAGGAAGAAGTGACCTTTGACTTCTATCACAAAGCATCAAGTATGTTTTTTACCTTTGGAGAGGAGAATAAATTAAGCTAACTTTATTCTATAAAGTCAGCACTAACTTCTAAGGAAAAATTAAGCCATCCTGGTCAGGAAAGATTTATTCTTTGTTTATTTTCATCAAAGAATTAAGAAACTAAGCTTGAGTCTGCCAGAATACTGCTGCAAAACAGGAGTAGGGAAGTGAGATTAGGAATAGGTATTTGCTTCTGCTTAAAGAGGGATGTTGAAGTGATCCTGCTGCCAACTGATTGAAGACAGTTAAGTGTCTGCTTCTTCATAAGGTTATTAGGAAGCAGAGAAGGGGAATGAAATAATTTCTTAAGAAGGGATGAACATGCAAATATGAATGGTATTTTAAAAATAAACAGCTTGCACTTGTTTTGTGATCAGGAAAATTGGAATGATGACTACATATTATGACAGAAAAGGGCACACACAATTGGAATATATAAAGTCTAAGTTTCTGAGTTATAAAAACAGAAGCCCTGGAGCATAGATCTGGCAGCCAGGTTTGTTTTGTCTGCACTTTTGCTTCTGAAAGGAATCTAAATTAGTGTTATCTGTATTTGATGCACCAAAAACGAAGATTATATTGTATCTGTCCTGAATTGAGGGAAAAACTGAAGGCAAAACTGTAAATGTGTAATATATGTTTTGCCAATATATTAAAGCCTGTTCACAGCTGCAGATGTGTGGAGAAGTTAGTTGGTATTTCTGCAAGTTGACATTTTCTTCTTCTGTAAAGGAATGGGAAGCTCAGCCTTGAATGCTGTGAACATAGTGATGCTTCTGGAAAAGCTGAAAGGAATTCCTCAGTTAGAAGCACAGAAGGACATGATCAACTGGATACTGCAGGTAAACAAGGAAGAAGGCAAGTGTGATCTGGTTTTAATAATTCAGAATACCATTAAAATTGTTTTAATGGCTGCTGTAGCTAATCCACTAGATAGCGTTCACACCTGCAATATCTTGAACAGCTTACTCTGTTGAAAAGCTCATTATTAGTTGCTGAAAATTTGTGAGGACCAGTATTAGGCCCAGTGCTGCTATGTAAAATATTTTAAGTCAGATTTTTGTGTAAATAATATCCAGTAGTGGCATTATTAATGCTCATTAACCATGTTATTTATATGAACAACTTTGTTATTCAAGATATTTTCTACAGTGTAAAGTGGTAAAAAGAGAAGCTTGGTTAAAATCTTTTTATATTAGTAAAATTGGCAAGTCTTTATGGGCTGTTTGCTTTAAAACCTCAAGTGTAGTGGAAGGTTTGCAATTTTTTTTTCAAAATTGCAATAAATCTTCCCAAATTAAATGGCTACCGTGGAAAATTAATGTGTTAAAATTCACAGCAGAGCTTTAAAATAGTAGGTAAATTAAGTTTAGAAGGTTTAACATAAAGAATTCTGAGATTTCTAGTCATATTTAAAAAATATTGAACCAAATGAAAATGTAAAGATACAATTTGGGAATTGATCATAAACTGGAAAGCCTTCCAGGTTGAGCATTGGATGATTTAAATCAGTGGAGGCCAGGCTTTTTAACAGGTGTGCCACAGATTAGCCTTGCACCCTTCTGCCCTGAGTGCCACACTGATCCCCTGCCTCAATCCAGTCTACTACTCTGCTTTCTGGTTCTTGCCCTTTGCTCCCTGTCTGATCTTCTCCTGTGCTTTCTGCGTTTAGCCCTGTGCTACCTGTCTGATTTCCTAATTTGCTTTCTGCTTCTGGCCCTATCACTTGCTATGCTGCTTTTCCCTTTCCTGTTATGCCATGTCCCACACATGGAAGCTACACATGCCACTTATGGCATTCATGCTGCAGGTTGGCCGCCACAGTTTAAATCATCCACATAGCAGTAGTGACTGAGAGGTATTTCTGTGTGATGGCATCTCAGTGAGCTGTGTGAAATGTGGCAGTCTCCATCTGTTTCCTGTTGGGTAGATGTCCTTATGCAGTCATCACAACCATTACTACTTGTTAGCAGTCGTACAAAGGCCCAAGGTCTTAGTAGATCAGAGGAGCTGGCTATATTCTCACACCTGAAGGAGTTCTCCAGATCTCAGTTGGAGGTACATTAGTGGTGTAGGGATCCTTTATTGCCTCAATAGAGGCGTTTTCTTTCCTAGGTTATTACTACAGTTTTTACCAACCCCAAATTATCAAAATATATTAAATCCTATGATAAGCTTTCAGTCTTGCCTGTGTAGCAGACGTAGAGGGGGTCGCAATTTATTCTTTAATGCTTAAGTCTCTATTCCCAGACATTTGACACAGTGAAACGATTGAGAGAGAAGTCCAGCTTTTCAACAGTAACCACTATCTCAAGATCAGAAGCTACAAAAGGTGATGAGGTAATAACAGAGAAGGAACTAAAAAATTCTGCGGAGACATAGTCCACAGGAATCTTTGCATTTGAAGTTTTAAGGTCCAATTTTCAAACCCAAGTGACTAAACTTGTTTATTTGATCATATAGGCTGCTTGCACATGTTGCAGGGGGTTGGGTGGGAAACAGCACTTTACTTTCAGCTCAGCACACCCCCGCACTGAGTGCAGCACATGCCCAGAAGAGGCATTACATTAGTTTGACCTGGCTTGCCCAATGTCTGTATAGATCGGGCGCTTCAGTGGGCTTTTTGGCGCTTTTAATAGCTGATTGATTCAATCAGGTATTAGATAAAAACACCAAAAAGCCTCACTGAAGTGCCTGATCTATACAGACACTGAGGAGCCAGGTCAAACTGATGTTCTTCTTCCAGTAAAGCGCTGTTTTGTTGTTGTTGGGGTTTTTTCCCCCATATCTGCAAGCAGTCATATTGGATACCACTTCTGGCATTAAGTAATGACATATGTCCAAAAACTGTTGTTTAATTAGTTAAATCCAAGTCTGAATATTGAGCCTGTACTGTTCACTTATTTCTAATTAATATTCATAGCATTGCTCTTTTTGCTGTTGTACAATCTGTGTTCAAGAATTGCAGAAGAAATCTCTTTTTTTCTTAGCATTAACTTGTGCTGCATGCCAAAGTTTATTTTGGCAGATAGTTATAAATAATGTATGCTTTCTGTGGCTACAGGTGGAGACATAAGGGTTGGTAGATGGCCTAGTTAGTATACTAGTATTTGCCTTGTCAGTTTGGCTTTTGTCAATTTGCCTTTAATGGTCTTCTGTTTATATTAACTATGGAGAAGGTAAAGATTTCACAAGGCTGAGAAACATGGATTTACTATAACCTCCCCCACCTGCAATTTTCACTAGCCACTAGCAAGTCAAACCGTTATTTGTTTTGTATTGTCTAAATACAGTACTGACTAGATAAAATTGATAGACCTTATAATTACCTGGCTAATTAGGGATACAAAGATTCAAAAGAATTTGGCTTTGTTGATACTTTTAGTCATTTTCACTTCAGTTTTGCAGGAGACATAAAAACTTGGGAGCTTGAACTGATGTCTAAATAGGTAAATAAAGGCAAAGCTAGGTTTCCGATACAGTTGTAGCTTAGTATCTGTTTAACTATAAATGTATTCTGTTAATGCCTTGTGTTTCTGGGTAATATTTTGAGTTTGGTTTTAGGCTTTTCAAATTTAATTTATTTTAACCATCACAGTGTCTGATTCTTTGGGAAATCTGGTATGAGCAGTTAAAATATCTACCTTTTGCGGACTAATTCTTGTCATTGTTTAATTGTTATTTTTATTAGCTTATATTCTCTTTGTTTGTTTCTTGGTAAGACACAGAGCACTCAGGACAAAGATAAGGCTGAGCGGAAAAGAAAGGCAGAAGCAGCCAGACTGCATCGTCAGAAGATAATGGCCCAGATGTCTGCCTTGCAGAAGAATTTCATTGAAACTCATAAACTCCTGTATGAAAACACACAGGAGGCGCAGGGAAGAGAGGATTCCATTATGGAGGAAGAAAGGTAAAGAGAAGCAAATATCCAGAGTTCTAATGAAAAATAAAATTTATTTCCTCTTACTTGCATGTTAAAGCCCTGGATTAGAGAATTAGGGAGAACCAACATCTCTGAGAATTAAGATGTAAATGCTAATGTCAGAGAAGTACAGATGTTTAGAAACGCAACAAACTCGTTGCATAAGATAAACTATACAAAAAAACATTTCTTGCTTCAGGTAAAAGACACCACATTACCTATCATGAATCTGGCCTGCTAGGCACTTTCATCCAGCCCACGGCGCCCCTCAACAAATTGTTCCCTGCCCAGCCCTTCTGCCCACAAGGGTGGAAGCAAGGTGCCTGCACCTGCCCCCAACATATCCTATTATGCCTCACTCCCTCCCTCATGGGCAGAAGGGTGGGCCCCGCTAGCACCGGGCCAGGCTGCTGCTGCAGGCTTCCCCAGGGTCCTGCTCCCTTTGGGCAGCAGGTAGAGAAGCTGTGGATGGGAGCCCAGAGTTTAGGGCTGGGTGGCTCAGAGCACAGAGCCCTCATCTAAGTGGGTGGCAGCAGTGTGGAGCTCGGGTTGGGCCCCCATGGTGCACAACCATGGCAGGCAGTGGGGGGCAGCAGCAAGGGAGTACTCTACTCAGCGCTGGCACCTGACTCCTGGTATCAGCCAGCACTGTGAGGAGTGCAGCCCCTGCCAAGCTGTTTTGTTTCCCTGGCATTCCCCGCACGCATGGGGCAAAGGAAGGAAGCCCAAGGCACTGGAGTGGGCTGGGGTGGGTAAAGCAGTGGCTCCAGCACTTGGGGCTTCCCTCCTGTGCCCTGCGAGTACAGAAAGTGCCAGGGAAGGAAATGGTCCAGCGGGGGCTGCTCTTCTTGCTGTGACGTGCAACACTGGCTAGAGCCAGGCACCAGTGCCCCAACCTGCTGCTGCACCATGGTGGGAGTGTGCAAAGGGTCCACTCACACCCTACAAACCATGCACGCACATGCACGTACACATACACACACCCCTCCAGTATTGACTGCAGGAGAGGACAATGTGTTCCAGAGCCACACACCCACACCCCACAAATGCCACACAATCCCGCAACATACCCTATGCCCCCCACATACAGCCATACCCTCTCATAAAATCCCCCTACACACCCCCGCACACTCTACCATAAGCACCCCTACACACCCCACCATACACCCTCCCCACTGTACATAATCATCCTTAACCACACCCCCAACACAATATAAAAGACTAAGAATTTATGTTTTAGTTATTATGCAATCACCTCTATATACAGTACACAAACACAAATCATGACAAAAATATTTTTGTAATAAAATTAAAATGTTATAGTAGATGTTTGACTTCTAGTGTATGATTTGTTTTTTTTTCTGGTTCTAGTATGGCAACTCCCCCTTCCCAAAAGCAGGGCAAAGGGAGGGACTTCTGGTGGCAAAGGCCAGGGGCTAGGGGTGGAGCTTCCAGTCCCAAGGTGGCAGTCAGGGGGCAGGGTACCTGTCAAGGGGTGGGGCTACCCATGCGGCTCTCAGTAGCTCACCAAACCTCATTAAGCGGCCCTCTGTTCAAAGTAATTGCCTGCCCCTGGGCTAGGGGGAGTGGGAGGTGGCTGGTCAGGCAGGGGGCGCCATGTGTATGTGTGTGCTCACACATGCATGTGGCTGCCAGGCAGCCTGGAGAGCAGTTCCTGCAGGTAAATCTGGGTTGGGGGGAGGGGGATTGAGATGCCCATAAAGAGGCAGTGAGTGAGTTAAGCAAGGCAGGGCTGGGGCTGGGGCTATTTCCAGCTGGGACATGTGTGGGGGTTCGAGCCCGGGGCCAGAATGCACGGCTGCTGCAGGGCCCAGGCGTAGAGTGGGACAGGACCATAGTCAGCTTGTCTGGGGGGCAGGGGTAGGGCTAGCTTTTATCATGCCCTGTTGCATCCCTATGACACTATAATGGGTCTTATACCAGGCAAGGAGACTAAGGCATGGTTGTCCTAAACTAAAAGCAGGTTTATTGAACCCTAACAGATACAATTCTAATTAGAACTGAAGTGGCAATAGCAGTTTAAAAATGTTAGGTTTGTAGTTAGTCAAAGCAGATGCTCACCACCCTGAAATGTTGTGAACGCAACTTCACTGGTTGATCAGGCCGTGAAGTCTTGTCTGGGGGACTCCTGGCTGCTCCCCTATCTGATGCCGAGACAGGATCTTGGCTTGGTAACAGGATCTCTTCGTGCTTTCTTCAGGAGTGTTCCAAGGAGGGGTTCCAACTCTTGTTCTTGTATATACCTTATCGTTACTGCATTATCATTAATACATTAGCATAAGTTCTTCCCTACAATGCATATTAATGAGCCTATTTCTGCTTGCCTTATATGACTATTTGTAACTGGAGTTTTCCAGCAGCTAAAAGTGAGTTTATTCTTAGGTAGGGGTTAGTTTTGCTATCGATAATTTCCCTTTTTCTCCCCAGCCAAATTTTGTATTTTGGTCAGCCCAGTTCCTGTTTCAACTTTGGTCATCAGATCAGGGTACTCCCAGACTTCTTCTTTTCCTTTGCCAGGGGTTGGTCAGAGTGACCTGTCTGTCAGATTTCTGCTGGGTTACGCCTAGTTGCAGCTAAGAATAAGCGTGCAGCAAACACAGACACCTGTCTTTTGCCAAGCGCCAGTACTATCAAGCTGGGCCCCAAAGCCTCTGGGTCCCAACAGCGCCCCCGCTCTGTGTGCAGGATAGGTGCGCGCTGCCTATTGTGAGCTTGGAATCCCTGCCCTGCTGCCCTTTCCCCTGGGACCTCCGCAGCCCAGTGAGTAGGATCCAGCACAGCAAGGCAGAGCAGGGCTGGGCAGGAAAACTACTTGCTACTGTGAGCCCTGCGCTGCCACAGCGAAGTGCCCCTGCCTGTGTGGCAGCAGCAGGGGGTGGTGGCACAGAGTTGTTCCTCTTGCTTGCTGCTGCTGGGTGGGTCAGGGATGCTTCGCCATGGTGGCGCCAGGCTCGCAGCAGTGTGATTGAGCTTCCCTGTCCAGCCCCACTCTGGCCTGCTATGCCAGGTCCCATCTGCTGAGCTGCAGAGGCTGCAGGGGAGGGCAGCAGGACCGGGAGCCCAAGCCTGCAGTGAGCAGCCTGCACCTACCCCCATCATGGGCTCTGTTCCGGCCATGCCACCCACAGGGGAGGGGAAGCTGGGCTCCTCACTCTGCTCTGCCACAGCAGCTGCCACCTCCCACAAGTGGTAGCCAAGGCTCCGGTGCTACTGCAGGGGGTGGGGGGCTGCAGACTTGGGTCTCTGGCCCTATATCACTGGCAGCTGGGGACCATTTCTAGCAGGACTGGGGGGCTGTGGGTGGGGGGCAAGGGGCACCAGCAGAGTCAGGGGGTGGTGGGTTGGGGAGCGAGAGGCCACCAGCAAGGCTGGGGGGCTGTGGCCTGGGTGTGAGGGTCCTAGACCTGTGTCCTGGTGAGCAAAGGTGGCAGGGGCACTCTAATTTTCCATGATAAAAAAAAAACCCAAAATCAAATACGAATATTTATAGGTATTTAGAATTTATTTTATTATAGTGATTTGAGGCATTGGTAGGCTTCCAAATTGCTTTAAAATGTATCAATAAAATATTGTGTTGAATTAATATCTATATATACAGTGGTATTTCATTTTAATCATGGATTTTGGGGGGTTTATCAGTGAATTTGCAATTTTCATCCGAGAATATGCTATTTTTAAATGGAGAAAACCAGGATCCGTGTTAGCATCATTCAGCCACATGTAGCTGGCATGAACAGGAACACTTCTTGAGCTTCAGTAAAAGCATTGGACATCTTCAAAAAGAGTGTCTTGTGTTTACACTAAAAGCTTTTGGAAGCTTATCTCTGTTACTCAAAGGTACAATGAGGAGGGTTTTGTAACTGACAGCATATTTAGCAAAACACTCTTACTGTGAATGTGGCTTGTACCAGCGTGTCAGTGCTCAAACCAGTGCTGGTTGTTTTGCTTCTGGAGGGGCAATTAAGGGGGCTGGAATTAGCTTTCCTAATCAAATACTTTTTTTGGATAAGCAGCTTGCACACTAAAAACTCTTTGCTAGTAAAATCAACTGGTATAGGTGTACTGGCAAAGCACTCCTGGTGTATACCTAGCCTAACATCTGATTCATAGAGACGTATGATATAACAGAGTACAGTATTATGTGAGAAATGACCAAAACTAAGAATTAGTTAATTTCTATAGGGGTGTAGGTTGTAGCCGTGTTGGACTAAGGACATAGGCAGACAAGGTTCCTTGGGTGAATCTGATATCTTTTATTAGACCAACCCAAATGGTTGGAGAACAGTTATTAAGCAAGCTTTCGGGTTCAAAAACCCTTCGTCAGGCTAAGGAAGTTTCAGCAGTTGGTGTGTGCTCTTCCTGGATGGAATGAAAAGTAAAGAAGCCAGCGGCTGGGCTGGTATGCATACAAGACAGGTAGTCAGTGAAAATGTAGATTGAGGAGTCAATGGGTGAGACACAGGCGAGCAGGGGGGAGAGAAGGGGGATGAAAGTGGAGAGATACCTGGGGAGCCAGATGTCAGGCAGGTTATATTGTGTCATAAATCCAATGTCTATATTTAGTCCATGATTTTTAGTATCCAGGAGGCTGATGAAGTGGAGTTCATAGGCTCGTCTCTGGGAAGTGTTTTGTAAGTTTCCTTTGAGGATCAGGACTGAGAGATTGGAGAGAGAGAGTGGTTTTCTTGTGAGAAATGTGCCCCCACAGGTAATTGGGTATTTCTGTCTTTGATAGATTTCCAGTGTGCATTCATTCTGGTGTGCAGT